AGAAGAAGAACGCTCAAGTGGGTATTTGTGACGTGGCTAACATCCCACACGGCTCATTCCATCTGCAGGAAGCGGAAGCCGTGAAACTGATACAGGAGGTTGCGGCAGCAGCTAAGTCCCCTTCCCAGCAAGCGCTGCAGCTCGATGCCACGGCACAACGTCCAACACCTGTCAGGCCGATAGGGCGACCACCTTCTTTAAGAGCATCTGTCAGACCGCCGATGATTTCGAGGCCGATTGTGCCCTCAAATGCAGAACAATCTCACGATTCCTCGAAAACGAATTCCTGGAGAAGCAAAGCTCCACCTCCATCGTCGCCGCCAGCGCTTCGAGAAACGCCTGTACAGCCCCGTGCGCCTGCGCCGTTGCTTAGGGTAGAAGAGTTTATCACCGTTTCTGCAGATGAGGATCTCGAGGTGGTGGACTTCTCTGATATGGGTAAATTCGTTGGTGCTCCAGCGGCCCCGCAAACCGAGGCACCACACGAAGGCAATGAAAGACCGTCCCGTCCCTCTCGGCCTGTCGCAAGTGACTTCTTTGAAGATTCGGAGCCTCAGACACTTCCTCCTCATCCGAAGTCTCCAAATGTGTGGCGTCGCAAAACTCCCACTGAGCTTGTTGGCGAAGTTTCAGCTCCATCCGCATCGACGAACCAAGAAATTGCAAAGGAGACTGCGGAAAAACCGTTACAGGATACTCCAGTGAGCATTCCGAGTCCGGAATCGCTGCAGGAGGCAGTGGCGCGTATATCACCTTCGAAGAGTTCCTCTACTGCGGATGGCTTAACGACATATTCGTCTAACCACACGACGTTGCCCACATCTCCGCAACGCTTAACTCGCCCGGCTTTCCGCGTACGAATGTCTGCTCTCGATGATGTGATGTCTCGCATCAAGGGAGCTTTGGATGACATGAAAGAGACGGAATCTGCAAAACAGGCCATCAAGGAGACTGCAGATGCACCGCCCGAACCAAATATCCCTCCATCTCAGGGCAATGCTAATGGTCGGGGTTATTCAGGCGCGCCTAAATGGCTTCCTCCTGCACTGAGGCCACGTCGCGTCGAATTTGGGGAAGAACACGAAGTCTTCGACGTCACTGGCTGCGAACCACCACGTTCGCCTCGACTGACTGCTGTGGTCCGCCTCCCTAGCCAATCACGTCCCTTGGATCCTATTCCTAAACGGCAAGCCCGTTTTTTGAAGAATGTGCGTTCACAGTTTCGATGGGATATAATGTCTTGGGATCCACCGGTCGAGGGCATGAGCAAGAAAGACTTCTCCTTGAATGATGTGCTCCACAGGAGCCATTTGTCTCCCAGGGGTAAACCCAGGTTTCGCGTACACCTTCCTCGAGCACGGCATAATCATGCGTCTTTTGCCATTCCGTTAGGACCTAAGGTCAATCTTCCTGTTGGATCAACAAAGCCGGGTTTGTCATATGGGAGGTCGAAGGTCGACGACCTTCCGTCGTGGAGGAGGGTTGCTATCTGTCCATCTATTCCGGAAAACAGCCCAGATGGCGCCAGCGCAGATGCTCTTGACACAATCAGTTGCTCGCCTCCTCCTAACCCACCAGAACTTACCCCCGCTGCCCAAAGTGTATTACCATGCACCAACAAAGCGGAAGCCGTTTCGCAACGTCCTAGAGCTCAACCAAAGATGCCAGTGGGTTCTGCGGTAGCATTTTATCGTGATATCCCGTCCGACACAGCTAGTCAAGAGTTAAAGAAGCATGCGGTGTCCTTCACCGTCTTTAGCGAGCTGGACGAAATACCGGCATCTCCACAAAGTGATCCGCCAAGCGCTCTATTCTCTTCGGCCGTAGACTCATCTGAATCTGACAAAAGTTTTTATACCAAGGAGACGGTCACAATCAGTCGTGTTGTGAATGGTCTTGGAAAAGATACGAGCTCCCCAAGACTCGTTGTTTCAACGCAGCTGGACTCTAAGAGCTCGGATGAATCGGTCGGTATTCCGTTGTATTTCTATGCAACTTCTTTTGTGGCTCACAGGTATATAGGTTGACAGAAATCTCATCACTCCTGGATCTACATCATACAGCACACCATGGACGAAATCCCCTTTGAGCTTTTCATCTGCAAAGGAATCTCCGGCGAGGGCACCGGATCCCGAGCATCTAAAAGCTGTATGGTCGCAGCCCTCTGACAAGGCTTTAGTACATGCAGTAAACTCCCTCGAGGGCATTGCGGATGATCTTACTGCTCTACCGTTTACATTGCAAGATGTCAAGTCTGAAGATGGAGAAACTCCCCCTCCTACTTCAGCAGCAAACGTTCCATCCAAGATGTCACTTCATGATGTCACACGTGCATTCCAGCAAGTACCTACTTCATCAAATGCCGCTACGAGGAGCAGTAGTACGTTACCATCTTCATCTGTAGCCGGACCCATCAGCCGTCCTTCCAATTATACATATAGTCCTGTCCATCCGCCAGGCATGAGCGGCCGGCCCCCTTTTCCCTACTCGCCGATGATGGCCCACCCACCTAGTCCCACACCCCTCGTGTATCCACCACCAAGCCCTGCTCCGCGCGGACCCAATGGGCATTCACCCATGTTTGGTGGCGGCCAACCAATATGGGTTCCTCTTCCATCCCAAAGCCACTCTGGTGCAGTGAGGCCGGTAACTTCGCCATACCCTACGCAGCTGATGGCATATCCCTCACCAAATGGGGTTCCGTCGATGTATGGGCCTCCGCCTATGCCACACGGCTCGCAGTCGCCACCACAGATTAACGGAGCTGCCCAACCCCGCCCTCGCAATATGCCGGTGATGAGTCCCGTGTTGCATTCAGCGACTCCTTCACATGCGAATCATTCAATGTATGCTGGGAGTCCTGTGATGATGCACGCACTTCCTATGATGGCTCATGGCCCCCAACCGTACATGGCTGTTACTGGCCGTGGACAAGGGCGTCCTGATGGTATGCCTCCGATGCAGCAATCACACTCTGCTCCTCAACCTTCGCACGCTACTATGTATAGTCCTGCACAACCTCTACCATATGGACGTCCGTCGTGGTGATACGTGTAATGCTACCTGACGATATATTGACGTTTCTCTGACATGTTATTATATGTTGTTTCGTTATTTTCCTACCCTCTCAATGCATATCTGCTAGCAATCCACGAGTACGAGGCCCGAAGCTGATCACAATAATTTATAAGCAAGGTGAATAATCTAAGTCTACCTCTAAACTGCCAGCTGCACAGCAGTCTCGGCAGCTTCGTCAAGGCTATCCAATGCGACTATCTTCAGACCAGACGCCTTGATCATCCTATATGATTAAGAGTCAGACTGAGTTTTGGTAACAGTGAAGAAAGAAAACCCACTCCTTCGCTTCTGCTTCCATTGTTCCCTTCAATCTGACGACTAATGGAATAGTGAGACCAAGCTCTTTGGTTGCTTTGATGACGCCCTCGGCAATGTAATCGCAGCGCATGATACCACCGAAGATGTTGATAAAGATACTCTTGACCTTGGGGTCAGAGAGAAGAATCTCGAAGGCTTTTTTAACCGTCTCGGGGGTGGCACCTCTGAGGATAAGTAGTCAAGTACAGAACACAGTAGCATCAGGCTCTACGTACCCCCCGACATCCAAGAAGTTGGCGGGATTACCACCATGTAGAGCCAGAACGTCCATTGTGGCCATGGCCAATCCAGCACCGTTGACTAGACAGCCAATGCTGCCATCGAGCTTAATGAAGTTCAGACCGGCCTTCTGAGCTTCAACCTCTGATGGCTCCTCCTGCGAGATATCGCGGAGTGCAAAGATATCCTCATGACGGAACTCAGCATTGTCATCAAAACCGAATTTGGCATCCATGCTGAAACAAATTGAAGGGGAGCAACGTGGGTTGTGAGATTTCCACTCACCAAAGTACATGGCCATCAACAGTCTCTGACATGGGGTTGATTTCAATTTGGGTGGCATCCTTGTCCTTGAATATCTTGTACAGGTTGATGAAAATGTTTGCCGCTTCATCTTGACCACCTTCCTTAATTCCAAGAGTTTTAGCAAGTTCAAGGGCCGTTGACTTGCTCAGACCCTTCTCAAAATCGATGGGAGTCGTAATGATAGCACCGGGGTTAGTCGCAGCAACTTCCTCAATGTTCATGCCTCCCTGATTGGACGCGACAAGAACAACACCTTGGGTAACACGGTCGTTGAGTACAGCGACATAGTATTCGTGGGAAGGATCACGACGCTCAGCAAGCATAACCTGTTCTGTAGTCAGAGACGAGAAATAGCTGGTAATGAATGTACAAACAGCATTGCAGATTCTACCACCGGCACCAGTTTGTTTCGTGATGAGTTTTGAGCCGATCATCTTGCCAGCATATTCCTGTGCTTGTTGTGGGCTTTGAACCACATGAGTTGTGAAGTAGGGACATCTCTATTGGCTTGTTACGTACCTGTCGACGGTATGCACACCACCCTGGAAGCCATTGTCGAATTTTCCTTTGCCCCGGCCACCGGCAAGCACTTGTGCCTTGATTACGAGTTTGTCCGTGCCTAAGCATCCCAGTCTTAGCGAGGAATACACGTCACGATGAAGATTCCAAACGCTCACCAAAATTCTGAGCAACCTTGTAGGCCTCTTCAGGAGATTTTGCAACGATGCTCTTTGGTGTTGGTATGCCATACTAGGGATCAAAGCGGCAGTCGTCACGCTATGAAAATGCTGACGATTTCTGAGCAATCTCACCGAGTTTAGTAGATTCACCGACTGGTACTCGTGAATAGAAAGGAAGCGCCTTTGACCAGCAGATGCTGCTCGCTATAACACCAATTAGATACAAAAAAACATGAATGAAACCCCACTTACTCGGGCCAACGAGCCTGTTGTTCTGAAGGAGGCAAGCATTGAGGAAGAGGTGTGATTGAATGTGATAATTCTCAGCCCTTCGGGAAAAGCGGGGGCGCGGGTTGCTTATATCAGCGGAGTGTCGATGAAAAGGGCATGGAAACACATGTTTGTGTTCTTCAGCCAGAGTGACGACGACGGTGGACTTTTTATCACAAGAATCTTCCAGTCTCTGATCCGCTTCTTCTAAGCTTGGAATAGCTCTGGCAGATGGAATACCGTGACCTCGCCTTGAGTTCGGACAACCTATCTTTAAACCGTGGGTTGTTCGAAATTTGGCAGAAGGAACATGCACTATTGAATTGCCATTGGCGCATACTTAGTACTACTAATCTTCTATCTATCCGATGTTTTATAGCCTCGGTCATGAATTATCCTCGAGGCCAGCCTCATTGCAAATATAAAGGAGTTAAAAAAATTGTTTGGACATCTGAGCCCAGAGCAACGCCCTCATGTTAGTTTCCACCATGGTTGACTCAGTTGTGGACTCGTCTCATTCAAACGGTAGTGATATTGCTAGCCTTTCTCCCCTCATTCAGCTTCAATTTGTGTCGACTACTGTTCTTCATCAGTCCCTTGATCTTTTTCATCCAGCTCTGGTTTGCAGGGTTACATGCAGTTCATCATTGGTCCATGGTCTGTCCATAGTGTTTCATGATGCAAACGAGGTGCTTAAATGCTTAAATTCGTAGGTCCGGGTCATAGCAGGAGAGTTGGTCAGTGGGTTTTCATCTGCAAATGGGGGTTTATTAAATCCTTGCGCAGGACATCAAACTTGACGATGATTTTGGGTTTGCTCCCTCCACTCTTGTCCACAAGGGTAGCGAAGCGCTGTTAGGAAAGGCAAAAATCTGAAATTCGAGCGTGTTGTATAGCATATCTCACAACTAGTAATAGTACCTCGTACTGAGTTGTTAAATCCACCGTTGCCGGATCACGTGTGCTCAGAGTGCCTCAACTTACAAAAGTAATCTTTAACGCAACTGAAGGCTGCTTGCCCATTAATACTGACAGTCCTTCACTATCACTATTATACTCATTCTTCGACCATGTCACAAAACATGATACCCCTCGATGGTGAAGGTCAGAAGAAGAGAGTTGTAAGTCATTTTCTTTGCAGCTGGAAATTCCTCGATCAGATCATGCTTACCTCCCCGTCAGTGTTACTTCTTCGACTCGGACATCGGGGGTTTCCACTATGGTCCCGGGCACCCGTGGGTTATGGTTGTCTGTCAGGCCGAGGGTTGTGACATGATTATCTGCCAACAGGATGAAACCAACTCGTATACGAATGTGTCATTCCTTGGTCATGAACTATGGTCTGTACAAGAAAATGGAGATATTCGTGAGTACACCTGCGAATGCATGGACGATCACTCGACTCAAATTTTACCTCCCGCAGCGTGCTAAACCTGCAACAAAACGCGAAATGACACAGTTTCACTCTGACGAATACGTCGAGTTCCTCAGTCGCATCACCCCCAGCAATATGAATTCGTACATAAAAGAACAACATAAATGCAAGTAGTTCCGCCTCTTATTCTTGCGTCATCTAACTATCCTGGCCTCCTCTCGCAGACAACGTTGGTGATGACTGCCCTGTTTTCGATGGGCTGTTCGACTACTGTTCTATCTCAGCCGGAGGCTCTATGGGTAACAGTGTTTCACGGGGTATGATAAGTCAACACTCACGCGTCCTGCAGAGGGTGCTGCACGTCTTAGTCGAGACAAATGTGATATTGCCGTAAACTGGGCCGGCGGTCTTCATCACGCGAAGAAAAGTGAAGCAAGCGGCTTTTGCTATGTCAATGGTCATACAAATTCTTTCTACAACAGCTATCTTCACGCTGATTACATGTCGCAGACATCGTGCTGGGCATTCTTGAGTTGCTCCGGTGCGCGCTTTTTAATTGCAGAGTCTAATCTTGACATGGTCCTGATGATCGAAACCCACCAGGTATCATACCAGAGTCCTTTACATTGATATCGATGTTCATCATGGCGACGGGGTAGAAGAAGCGTTCTACACCACAGATCGGGTCATGACGGTCAGTTTCCACAAATATGGCGAGTATTTTCCAGGAACTGGCGAATTGCGGGTATGTGTCATTTTGTCTTATTGGTGGAATATTGTTGACACCTATCAGGACATAGGAATAGGCAAAGGAAAATATTACTCTCTCAACTTCCCATTGCGTGACGGAATCTCGGACGAAAACTATAAATCGGTGTTCGAACCTGTCAGTGAAGTTTTCTTTTCCAGCTGGCATCTACAAGTTTTCAATACAGGTGATCCGTGAGGTCATGGAATCGTATGACCCGTCGGCTATTGTTCTTCAATGTGGAACGGACTCCTTGTCGGGAGATAAGCTCGGCTGCCTAAACCTATCTATGCGAGGTATGACCAAAAGTGTTACCCTTAACTTGTCTGAACTTTCATTCAGGGCATGCCAACTGTGTCAAATTTGTGAAGTCCTTCAACAAGCCTCTACTACTGCTTGGAGGTGGGGGTTATACGATGCGCAATGTCAGTCGGGCATGGGCCTATGAAACTGGTCTGGCAGCTGGCGTTGAACTGGCACCAGGTTGGCCTTCTTTCAGCGCAGTTCTCTCACCTCGGACTGACATGATCTAGAAATACCCGTGAATGAATACTACGAGTATTTTGGACCAGACTACGAATTAGACGTGAGGGCGTCAAATACAGAGGATATGAATACACCGGAGTACCTGGAACGTGTCAAGAATATTGTACTCGAAAATCTGCGACATTTGGGAGGGCCTCCCGGTATTCATATGACAGGTATGGACTTAAAAGGTATTTGGAAGGTGCTGGAATGTTCATCAAACTGCCAGATATTCCAAAAATGCCGATAGACGACGACATGGATGACCCTGATCAGGACGAAGACTTGATTCCTCCTGATACCAGGAGACACCGACGGTTATTGGACTCTCGCGTCCAAGTGGACGGAGAACTGTCTGACTCGGATGATGAAGGAGAAGGGGGGCGTAGAGACCACGCACAGCATCGTGATCGTGACAGCGAACCGAGAAGCCGCTCAAGCGAGGCGGACATTGCTAGTGGAAGGAGGTTTGGTATCGGTGTAGGCATCTTGAGTTCGGGTGCTGCGGGCTCGACCCATGGGGCTGGTCCTAGTGGACACACCACGATGGTTCGCCCCGTGTTGGGCGGGCATTTGCCGATGGAAGTCGATACTCCAACGACCACAGAAAGCGGGCCTACACCTATCGAACCAGTCGTCGCCAATGGCACGACAGATCATTACTCGGGTGATAAATCGCCAAAAATGAACGATGCTACGGCAACAAGTGTAGAAAGTTGATGACTTGCTTCGGCTGACCACTTTGTATATTGCTTGCTATCATTGCTGTCATTATGCTACCGATATATTAATCGAACACCAGGAAAAAGCTTGCAGACAGTGCATGGGACGTAGTATGCTAACAGTTGCTCAGCGGATCAGTTCTGTTCACTCGTTCATTAATGGCAAAAATACCAACTTCCTAATCCGTAAAACTCGAGTCTTTGTCATATGGAACTAGAACACCGTCTCCGACCCTTCTTACTAACAATCAATCACTAGAGGTCTCGAACATTAATGATGGAAGGACGGAATACTTCTTCTACGCTTTCCACTGCCGAGAACTCGCTTCTGACACCCGAGCAAGTCAAGCGCATTGAGCTGAACCGCCTCAAAGGTACATGAGTAATGTCACGGGGGTGCCCACATTCCAGTCCATATTTCAGCTAAACGCAGTTCTACCATAGCAAAAGCAAGGCAGAGACAACGAGAACAGGATGCAGGCCCGTCATCTACGCCAAATCCGAACCAGAAACGCCCTCTCGAGGTGATCCCAGCTGTGTCCACTTCACCGACAGCTCCTAAGCCACTGAAGCGTGATTCACGCCTCGGCAAGTACTTTGATTATGACCTGTCTAAAATGGTCAACTCGAAAGGTGGATTTTTGGTTGAGGAAGGGAAGGAGGTGGACGAAGATTTAAGGGCGAAAGAACGAGAACGAGAAAGACAACGAGCCAAGCAGAACTTGGAACCGCGTAAGTCTTACTTTTTCCTCTCTGTTGAGGTCCTAATGATAGTGGCATCACAGCGATGTACTTGGATCCGAGCTTGAATCCGAAGTGTAGAGAATGCCAGTCTATCGATATTGATTACACGTACAAGAAGATATTTGGATGCCTGGTATGTAACAAATGCAAGGAAGAACACCCAGAGAAATACAGTTTGTTGACAAAGACTGAGTGCAAAGAAGTAAGTTTTCGCTTTCCCTGCACTTTCATCCTCTCTGACAGACGATCAGGATTATCTTCTAACTGACCGTGAGTGGTTGACTTGGTCGTAGTGCATATACTGATAGATCCAGCCGAACTTCGGGATCGAGAGCTACTACCCCATCTACTGAAAGCTAATCCTCATAAGTCAACGTTCGCGAATATGATGCTCTTCTTGCGTTATCAAGTCGAAGATTTTGCGTGGAAGAAATGGGGTTCACCAGAGGCTCTAGATGTTGAATGGGAGCGTCGAACGGAAGAAAAGAAAAACAAGAAAAACAAGAAGTTCGAGGAAGGACTGCGAGACTTGCGCAGACGGACTAGAGAAGGTGTGTGGCAAAGGCGAAAAGATCAGGAGCACAAACATGTCTTCGGAGTAACGGAGGACATCGGGGATGGCATGGGTCGGCAAGTTTGCCATGAATGTGGATTCACCATCGACGTCGAGGTCTTTTGATTTGTTTAAGCGCTCGCCTGGGATGGCAATCATGACTCAGGGGATCTTGGTCCAGTCCGAACTTATAATTGTATCCAACCATAAATATCATACACTCGTCTTAATTACAAATTTTTGAACAATCTGCTACAGCGTACGCATCTTTATGTAAGTACCAATCCCGACCGAGTTTCCTGTGATTTTTCACTCGGTTACCTAGCTGTAGGCCGATATAGCCGGGTCAAAAAAGGTTCCGGTCACCGTGCTTCACAAACTCAACCGGGCGATTAGTACCAAGCTGGTTGTCATCATCGCCCATTTAGCGGGTGATCCAGTCGGTGGAATTCACCTGCTTTCGGTTTCATACTAATACTTATTGCCAGCTTTACCGGTACTTACTCCGGAACACCTCACGAGTCACTGCCACTAGCCTCGTCGAAGACGGCAGTAGTCAAGACCTTCCTCCCAGGCCACACGAAATAGCTGTTTTGCCGCAGCTCAGGCATTTACTATGGATGATCCAAACCAAGCCGAAAGCTCCAAGATTTCCACCTCATTGGAGCTTGAGCAGATCGAAGTAAATCTCTTTCGGTCAAAGACTTTATTCAAACCCACGAAGGCTCGAGGGGTTTTCGGAGGGCAGGTCATCTCACAAGCAATAGTCGCCGCCACCAATTGTGTTGATCCCGTGTTTGGGTTGCATGTAGGGATATTCTTCTTCGTATCCGGTACTGAAAGTTAATGGAACATGTTGCCCACTAGTCTTTGCACGTGAGCCGCGTGTATAACTTTTTGGGCGACAATACTCAATTCCATTTAGTGTTACTTTCTTTTGAGTGCATCTCCTGCTATTCCTATCATATATTTTGTCGAGAGGCTACGGGAAGGGCGGTCATACACTACCCGAAGTGTCAAAGCAGTTCAGAATGGAAAGGTGATATTTCAGCTAATGTGTTCCTACCACAAGCCGGAACCATGGCAACCTACATACCAGTGGCCCATGCCCGAGGCGCCCCCACTTGAGGAATGCGAGCTTGAGGAAGTGCTGTACAGACGCCGGGCTGCGAGGGAGGACCTTCCTGCGAAAGTTCGGGACCTGTTCTTGTCTTATGCACTTGTAGTGTCTGCCCTACTACTCTTATTCGCAATCCAGCTTACCTTGCCTGTAGGAAAAGGAAAATGGTCCAATTTCAGTCAGAAGGGCTGGATTGACCACTGAGAATGGTACACAAACATCCATGCATTGGATGCAAGCCCGAACAGGTCAAGCATCACATTACGGGGCACCTTATCAGAAGGTAGGATGTTGTCATGACTAGTTGGTTTTTGTCTAACCCACATCATCAGTGTATTCTGGCATACCTTTCAGACCTCAACTTGTAAGCAGCCTTCGACTCACGAGAGATACCCTCATGTTGCGCCATATCTAGCATCTCCGCTGCGTCTGATGTTCTTAAACTCAAGCGAAACTCAGATGGTCCTGATGCTCTTACCATGTCTGTGAGTACGGTGCTGTTTTGTGCCTTCGAAACCGCTTACAAACTCTACCTAGTCTACACTAGATCATTCCATATGGTACTATGAGTATGCTTCCTCTCTATTACTTGACCCACTGTGTTCTCAACTGCTGTTAGCGACAACTTTTGTTGTGAAGATGGATTACTCTACGTGGTAGGTGTCTTATCATTTCTTGAAAGTCATTCTTGTTCATATCTTTCCTCATGTAGGTAATTTGTCCTCGAGCTACATCCGGTAGAGCAGTGGTTCATGGCAGGGTATGTGGTGTTTATATTTGCTGCAGTCTTTCTGATGATGTATAAGTTGTACTCGCAAGCTGGCAAGCTGGTTGCGGTCACTTGTCAAGAAGGCGTGGTACGGGCTAACGTACGAGGTCCTACTGAAAACAAGGCAAAGCTGTAGAGTACATGTTATCTGTGTGACACTAACTTGAAGATACAACCGGGATTTGGTATTTATATTCATCGAATTACGATGACGTCTTCAAGACTCTGTAGATTCTCCGCCTCGTGTGACAGGCTTCTCGACAAGGAATGTTGAACCCTGACGAGACACTACTGTATGTAGTACACATACAATTGTTCAAATATTGCAACAGATACAAAAATCTAGCTACTGTCATAGTGATGCAACAATACTTTTTTATCGTTTTGTATTTCTCTTATAAATCTATTTCGCGACACCAAATAACTACGACGACAAAACTTGAAAACAAAAAGCAAATTGTCCCGTTCCTTGCCGAGTAATGCGACAAGTGTCAATCACGTTGAGCATTTTCCCGGCTAAACACCACTGCCAGTTGTTATATGCACGCGCTCCTGGAAAGCGATTGAGGTCATAACGATTCCTGCATCAGAGTCGGCCACGAGCCTAGCGTTAAATTCTCGAACACCGAGGATTAGGCGTGGTCCCAACACGACCATCTGTACGAGCGTGAGAATTTGAGACAAGCCAAGATATATCTGAGTCTCCAAAGAAAATGGGTTCTATAGAAATGATGAATCGTGCTCGCAGAGGTGAAGTATCAGATCGACATACCGTTGACAGCACCGGAGATAAATAACCGATCTGGAAGCAAGACACAGCAATGAAACTAGCACGTTTCAGTGAAAAAAGAGAACCGCATGAACATCATGAACTCACCTCGTAAAGTAAACCACGTGAGTTTTTATCAGCACCGTGAAACAGTCCCCGAGAATCCCTCTTGCTGATGATCGTGGCAGTTCGCGAATGTGTATTACAGCAATCCAGACTGCGAGAGACAGTACAAAGACTTCCCATGCGATGCCGATTATCCAAGTGAGGTCAACCAGAAGTACGCCGTTTCCGTTAAAGCTAGGGGAGCACACGTAACTACCGGAGAGAATGAGAACCACTGGTATTTGCCAATAAGCGTGATGAACCGGTTTTTCATCCATAATGAATGCTTACCCGCCGAACTATTCTTAGTTGCTTTTCCAGAAGTCGTCACATTGATGATGGTGAAAGCCAGGAAGGTGACAACGAGAGGTATCAGCACCTTTTTGGATCGCTGATACATGGCATATAAACGAACGATCATGATGACTTGCATTGTTAAGGGAAGTCAGTGTCACTGATCAAAGTGTCGCAGGTGTAGGGCTCACCGCCTAGCATTGTAGTCGAAACAAAAGTGATCCAACTTAATGTGACAAAGTAGATATAACCTAAAAAATCCAGTTAGTGACCAGCCTCGGAGGATCATTCCAAATCAACTCACAGCTGTGGAGACCATTACATTATAGCAATGAGTTGGTTAAGAAGCTCACTCACCCCTACATGAGGGTGCAGTTGAATATACAGAAATGGCAGGCATCGGTGCAAAATTCTCACTGTGTCTGTCAACGAGATTGTCGGGACTTGAGCTGTATGCTGCTGGTCAAAAGAGATAAACATAGTGTATGCGAGGAGACATACCCAGTATGCTGAGGCTGATTGTAAAAGATGATACATTAGCATGGCGACAATGTTGAATCTTCCAAACATACACGGCATATACTAGTCCAACATAGCGCAGCTAGAAGATTTTCAAGTAAGCGCGAGTTGCCGACCCCAATTATAATCTAAGGTGCATACACATAGATACAAAGCAGTCACCAGGGACCAACGTTGCCTCTATTGTAAATCAATGTTTTTTTTCTCCTGACGTAGGACTCTACTCACCCAGATCAATTCGATCTGTAAAGTCATTCTTAGAGAGATGACTGCTTCGGAAATGGAATCAACTTACCTCTTGTGCTAATGTCAGTACTGAAGATGTTATTATTAAGGAATTTCAGCAGGTCTTAGAAACCATCTTGCTCACCCCAATCGTACCCCACACCAACAGAGGCGGCCACTGTAGAACCACGGCCAAGGTTAGACTAGGATATCTCTGCCATCAACCAACAGACTCTCCACGAACCTATAAAATAACTGGAAACAATGCTTGCATTAATGATCGGCCACCAAGAGGGATCATCTGAGACTAGAGGCATGTTGTTAGGGAACAGCAAACTTAGTGGACAGATGATGAAAGCGTTCGCGGTAGATATAATCCAGCATTTGGTTCCTGAATTCTGTTTTAGTCGGCAAAAGTAAGCATTGTCACATGGTGTGGAGTCGACGGGAGAAGATAGGAAATAAGTTGAAATGTCATGTACTAAATTCATCGAAGCTGACCCGTTGCAAGGAACGGACCTATCAGTGTAAATGCAACCATCGAAAGTAAACACCCTGAGGCCATTGAATCTCAGACGCGGCAATTAGTAATTAGGCCGCCTTTAAAGCTGCACGTCTGAAATTTAATGGTCTTTGCAGTGCCGGGTTTGCCCTGGGTCGTCTGACACAGCTCACCGAACCTGAGCGTGATAAGTCATCGTGGACGTCTTGATAAGGTTTAGTGCTGCCAAGAAAGTTGGAAATGAACAACATGCATTAGTAAACGGGAGTGGAGTGCGACTGGTCTGACTCACTGGGCTGTGCTCAATTTCGAGTTCATCGTCCAGTACATGATGGACTCTTCGAGCATCAAATCTGTCCTAAACGAGACTCATACATAATCCTTACGGCACGCAGCGCCAACACTTCAAGTTGGCGTGCTAGTGGCCGTAAGATAGGTTGTGGTGCGCGCGTATAGTAAGCGTAAGTTATGTAAATTGTCTGCGTACCTTCTAACTGCTATGATTGGATTTGAAAAGAAAAAGTTATGCACAGAATGCAGTGACTTTTTCTGGACGCGCACCGAGCGTTTAAAGTTCCTTCAACAAAAACTTTTCGTCATTGTTGGACATGTGTCAACCAGAGTTGACATGTAACACTCGGCTACCTCACCATCTTACATATAGCGTGTACAACCGGCTGTGGCTGTTGAGGTAATTGTAGGACTGAACAGATCAGAAAGATCGTATGTATTATATGCGCCGATGAGAAAGTACATGAACGACAAGTCAGATCTCAAATTTTGCGAGAGAAGATGTAAACAATTCAAGCCCAGTAGCACATCATATGATTTTTGGGCAAGCATGGAAGAGGGGGCGCGAAGTGTAATGTGAGTGTGAAAGTCTGAAGAGTTTAATTCTTCCGACGGAATGAACTACCTGTAAAAATGACGTTAATGTTTTGTCACCATCGCAATTCAATGACATACCCTCAGTTAGTCTCGCTTTACCACCCGTAGGTTGGCAGAGGACACTCGAACACGAGCCGCAAAGCACAACTGATTGTGCATGGGAGAACACAGTGGTAATAGCAAAGCATCCTAGCAAACAGTGAGATCAGTGTTATCAGCTCTGACGGGACGGGACATACCTGGGCATTTCACATCCATGAAATAAGAATCGGGGGATTGGACGAGACGCTTGAGTTTATGCTGCTTGCGCTCATGTTCTGCAGAGGGGTTCAATAGATCGATAGCCAGAGGCTGGGCGGATTCCGTGAGGATTTCGCACAAGTCAACCGAACATGCAGATGCCGTACCATTTCTGACGAGCTTTAATCTGGGTGTTTTTGTTGTCGACGTTGTTGATGGCTCAAGCGAGACGCTGACGATCGAAGATGAGAGAAAACTCGATGACAGTGAATATGGGAAGTAGTGGTACAGTCAATCTGACTAAGCCAATTGCGGAACCGTCCGCTCAGGACCGCTTGTTGACCAATTGACCTCGTCAACTATCAAGCCGACTTCCCTCACAGTCTCCCGTAGTCAGGTCATATGAAAGGAAGACACCTCTTATTATGATAGGATTGGAACATCTTCCTGTGCTTCAATTCAAATATCATCAGCGGTGTTTCGGATAAGGACCAAGGAAATGATGTGAGGATACGCTTCCTCCCAGAGAAAACAATAGCAACCTTGGGCGGATATCAAAACGTACGCGTAAAGGTCTGGCGCAAACTTGTTTTTGTCCTCTACTTGGGAGATCGTAGAGTCGACTGCCGGCAGCACGTGTGCCCACTATTGTTGTCAGAAAAGGAAATTATCCATGTTCTTTTGTTCTCACTTCGCGACCATTATGGAGGGCGCTCTGCCAGCAGCATGCCTTTGTTTACGCCTGGCGGCTGTTCTTGGCACGGCATACATATAAAGCTTAACCCCATAACCTCCCATACTCTCCATCCGGGTTTTGATAATCCAGTCATCAATTTACTAACTTTCTATCCTTGCAGCCAGGTTCGTTATACTTCTGTTTGACTACCGTTTCGTTTTCAGCTAATCTGCTTCATGGCCTCTCCTTCTAGTCTGTTAGGTGAGCCAGCGTTTTAGTTTTACTTCATGAGACCATACTTAATATCATTCCAGACGTTTGCTCATATTCGATCTCCCCGTCTAAATCAAAACTTCAGTATTACTAGAAGACTAGTCGTATCTCAAGTACCTTTTCAGCGCGCTTCACTCCCGCATCTATCATCGCAGGACGATTTCTGTTATTACCATCTATTCAACCTTTCCAATCGCTTTCTCGTTTACAATCATGACTACTACATCCAGTCTTCCCATCACTCTCGCTCAGGCCATCGCCTACCTCACTCGTCCTCTTCTCCTTACGTACCCTGTCGCCACAATCATCAGGCTTCAGCTTGCGCTCGAGGCAAACTTGACCGCACTATTTGCCCCTTCTTGGGTTCCCAAGGAACCCCTTCGTGGTTCTGGCCGGCGTTGCCTTACCCTCTCCCCCAATTGCCTCCCCCCACGTGCCGTATATGCCGCGTGCCTTGCATCCAGTGTTCAGTGGTTCGACTGGATTGCGGTCTTGGGCGGACATGAGTTCGACTTCTTTGTCGATCCAGGATGCATTTCCGTGCGCTTCGGGAAGGGCACTGAGCTCATTACCATCTGGTCAGAGGAGCTGATGGCTCAGACCGTTTTCGTGCCACCCCATACGCATTCAAGCCAGCTGCCATCCAAATCTAAGACATTTGCCCAGCAGCTCTTGGAGAATGACCACACGGATGACGATGAACTTTTCGCCTTGATCGCTGACGAAGTCAGCGCGCCCACTTGGATGACCCCCATCACTGACCGTTTCCCTGTTCCTCCACGTTCTGAATCACCGCTGTCTGCTATATCTTCCGATTCATGCTCCAGCTATCGCTCGTCCGACTCGGATTCCTGTTTCTCTTCGATGACCGGCTCTACTTTGTCCTCTAGAAACGACAGTCAGTCATCCCAACTTTCCCGTCGCGAGAGGGCCAGGCAGGCTCGTGTCTTTATTGACACTTCCAAGACTGAAGTCACCCCTTACGACGGAGGCAAGACCACTGTTCTCACCGGTGGTGTGATGCTAGGTGCACCTCCCAAGGGCAAGAGCGGCACATCCGTTCCTGCCTGGCGCCGTGTTTGAACGGCTATCAGCCTCCCTCCCTTAATCACTCGTCGCCGATGAAGCTCCAACGAGATCGCACTTTTTGCCTGTACGCCTATTCATGCCCCAAAAAACCACGAACGATAATCCGGACAATGTTCTACCATACCACACCGTTTAACGTCTATCATACCATTTGCCTTTGCTTTTATTACTTTGTTTTCGTAGCTTTGATTCAGATCGAGTGTGTGTAGCATTGAACATTCTCATACATGGCTGTTATCTTTGCACTTTCATTGACTACCGATTTCCTGTCGTATTAAATTCTCAGTACCATAGTTGTATTGTAATTGTATAGAACCAAGCGCCCGTGTATCATTCTGAGTTTTGAAGATTCCCCATGAATCATGGCTTGTTCAGGTCTTCGATGTTATCGGCGGAATTTTTCCGAGTCCGATCTACTCACTAGCGTCGGGTTAACACCAATGCGCAACTCCAAAAACGTCATGCTGTCCCCCATGGCGAAATAATAAACTGCAAAAGACACAGTCAAGACATTACTCGGCCACGAGGTATATAAGGCTAATATCCTTGCTACTTTCTATTCTCACACCCGAGCCTAGTCTTCATTATTCTATTTGGTCCCATCAAACTTTCAGCATGCCGACCCAATCCTTAGAACAACAGAAATCACTCTATTCCCGTGAATTAGCGGCGTACACACTCCGGCAGTGGACGGCAACAGTTGATGCACAAAAATTGGATGCATGCTTGTCCAATGCCATGCGGGGCATCTCGTTGGCTTCCCCTGGACCCTCACCTGCACGGGAGAAGAAGGGCACTAGGCGTGCTACTTCATCATCTGGAGCTACCAGTGACCATCGGAAGGAGAGTCGGCCAGGGAAAAAATAAAACATGACCGTAATGAGGCGTTCAAAGGTCGAGAACATCGTCACATACTAACATGACTCTTCCGGTGAGCTCGACCCCAGTGACACTGCGTTGGTATCTGAAACCAAGCAGGTTTCCCCCATCTCCAAAAAATCAGTTCTGCACAAGCTTCACCTATACATATGTTTTCGCTGATACCTAGCCCAGATATTTATGGTTTACAGAATCCATATCACTTGTAACTTGTAATCGCACTGGCACTTGTCCGTTATGCCATGATGAAGAAGGTTGTAGCATAGATATTATATTAACGCGTCATTATCATCCTGTGTTATTAAAGTATGATGAATGCATATTCCAGATCGTAGTCAGCCGTGGAGTCTCGGTGATAACAAACTCTAGACCGATACGTGTGATTGACAATTATAGATCTACTATAGTACATCGCCTTCTACCTAGTCCTGAGGCCTACCCTCGAATCGTCTTCGGTTCATCATGAACTTCAGTGGTTTTCTTCGGCTATCTACTCCCAGATTCAGCAGATCGCTTGCAACTGTAACCATATCACCCCGCTTGGCACCACAAAGACATGACTGGACGCGACAAGAAATCCAAAAGATTTATGACAGTCCTCTCTTAGATCTTGTCTTCCGCGCAAGTAGCATCCATCGTCAGAATCATGACCCTAGCAAGATCCAACTGTGCACACTTATGAATATCAAGAGTGCGCTTTGTTCCCGCTCTATCCCCTCTATCATTGTCCTAAACGTTGCATTATAGCTGGTGGATGCTCTGAGGACTGTAAGGAGCCTATTGTACCGAATAACGATACTGACTCGTTCACTCAGGCTCGTACTGTTCTCAGTCATCCAGATATTCCACCCCGACGAAGGCTTCACGTTTGCTTGATATCGAACCTGTCATCGAAGCAGCACGAAAGGCCAAAGAGAATGGAAGCACAAGGTTTTGCATGGGTGCAGCATGGAGGGACCTCGCAGGACGCAAGAGAGGGTTTGAAAGAATTCTTCAAATGGTCCGAGAGGTCCGGGGTATGGGGATGGAAGTCTGCACGACTCTTGGTATGCTCAGTCCAGAGCAAGCAAAACAGTTGAAAGAGGCGTATGTGTTTTCTATCTCTCAGGTTCAACTCAATTCACATCTGTTTGAACTAGCGGCCTCACTGCATACAATCATAATCTCGATACATCGCGTGAATTTTATCCGCAGGTTTGCTATATGTCATGATTTGGAGTTGCTGCCTGCATCTTTTTCAGGTTATCACGACGCGGTCATACGACGAGCGCCTGGGCACGATCAGCGCAGTTCGAGATGCTGGAATAAGCGTCTGCTCTGGCGGTATATTAGGTCTTGGAGAGTCAGATGCGGATCGCATCGGCTTGATTCAGGAAGTTGCCAAGTATGTTTGTGCTCGATCGTTCAACTGTCACTCATAACTTTTTATTTTTTCTACAAGTATGCCGGAACACCCCGAATCATTCCCTGTAAATGCCCTCGTACCCATACCAGGCACTCCACTCGAAGGAAATGAAGTGTGCTTCTTTCATTCATGTCTATGTTTTAGCTGACGTATTTTTAAAGCGGGTTGCTCATCATACTTTACTGCGGACGATCGCCACCGCGCGTATGGTCCTCCCAGGAACAATCATTAGACTTGCAGCGGGGAGAAACACGCTTAGTGAATCTGAGCAAGCCATGTGTTTCATGGCCGGCGCTAATGCGGTGTTTACGGGAGAACAGATGTTAACCACTCCATGTACGTGTCTTTAATCTACGTGCGAACAGCTAACTGATGATCGACAAAGGTTCTCCGTGGGATGAGGTAAATCTATCATTTTCCAGGTTTGCGTGTAGCTGACGAGAACTAATCTTGCTGCAGGACAAGGCAATGATGGGTAGGTGGGGTTTAGAGGGAATGCAAAGCTTTGAGCAAGCAAGCGTCGCAAAAAAGGAAGGCGCTGCGCTAGGACCACAAACTACGAGAACAGTCTCGGAGTCGCAAGCAGAGTCATCCTAGAATCCCGGGCAAATTTGCCATTCATTACGAAATACAAGCAAGGAACATCATTTCGCTACGTAGACCGGCGGTTTGTGTGTGTATGTGCATATATATTTTTCGCGACCACGGTGTATTACGCCTGCGGACTCACCGGCGATAATCCCCAAGTGCAACCGTTCGCGCGGATATTACTCAGGGACAACTTTCAGCTGGAAAAGTTATAACGTAGCCCTCCTCGTTTCTTGGGGAGTGTGCTGCATCCGCATTCCCTGTTACGGAAGTCAGACCTCAAGACCAGGGACCATACTTTTACGTATGAAGCTAAGGCAGACGAGCTTCACGATTTGTTGATCATTGCATGCAGAAGACAAACTCGTTCCATTCTCGCCAAACATGGCAGCCTGTTCGGCAGACAGCCTGTCCGTCCCTGTGACCGATTTCTCCTGTGTAAGTTCGGAGTTCTGTATTACGATTGATCGTTCGCCTTGGATTGCCTTTTGGCACCATGCTTCGGCAAAGATCTAGGATGATCGCACCAGATCGCGGTATCATCGCGCAAGTTGCCTCTATTCACAGTATCACGACGACAGATCACGACATCATGACGGACATCGGGTTAGTAAAGGTACGTCCGCCTTAACACTCGAAGCACATGATGTCTGAACAATATTGTTTGTTTCATCAGGGAAAACCTCCCCCTTGAAATCGAGAAAATTTCCAGTAATTCCCTGGTTTTCTTAAGATTTTCAATGATTGTACCTTGACAAAGACTGGATCCTACCGTGACCTCGTCACCTGCATTGCCTGACGAAAACTGTGCTGTCAATCCTTCGTGGGAGAGCCCTAGCTAGTAAATAGAAAACCCTGTTCAAGTCACTTGATTCGGTCTGCAGATTTCTAGAAAGTTCACTATAATATTTTAGTGTGACTGTCAGTCTGTCACGCCACTTTTTTTGGAGACGAAGCTGATTTGTCACATGTGGTAAAAACATACAGAAAAACAGATAAAAAAGACAGTGACCAACTATATTGAATCTGCCTGTTCTCAGCTTTACAATAGTGAAACAGACAAAAAGTGCAGCAATCATAATTTGCGGCTATTTTGTGTATGGTCACAGGTCACAGTGACGCTAAGCGTGACTGTGCTGCACGTGACGAAGCTAGTGCCGAATCTCAGAGTCTCTACAGTATTTTGTATTATCGGTTTACCACAACGTTCAACAGATACTATGCAAAGCGCACCAAAAAGAGCCCATGAAGAAATGAGGTTAGTCCTGAACACGCGTGCATCTAAGAGATCTCACAACCTGTTTAGTCTGTTGGTCCTGAATGATCACAACGCGTGGTATTACCCCTCGCAAGGCTTAAGTTCAGATGATGAAGACTTGGCCGTCAGCATAGTGGGCGGTAACTGGGGAAACAAGATGAAGAAAAGCAGTAGATGGGTTCGCAAGGGAAAAATGGCTGCATGGGGCCCTGGCATGGACGACTGGGAGGTGAGCTAAGCTATTTACTCTAAACACTCTTAACCTTCAACCAGGCTGAGGACCGTGCCCGTAAACGCATAAAATGTTTGTTACCCGAAAGACGATCGCCCTCCCCGCCTTGCCTTCCTCATATGCGGTCGCCTTCGCCACCACTCCTTGCTCCCTATCCACCACCTATTGGTCAGCATTTCAGTTTCGCCTCTTTTGTCATGGATAAGTCTGTGACGCATTCGTTCCGGTCAAGTTTGTTGGACGAACTGGAATATGCTACTAACAGTCTTATTGAAGGAGAAGCGGTCATGAGACGTGCTCTTGGGAGGCTCTGGCAAGTCATCAGCGAAGACCCAGACAAACAATTGGATGAGGAGCGTGTGATACCGAAACAGGAAGAGCAGGAAGATATTGAAGACGAAGAAGACGAGCAGGAACGTAGGATGGCTCGCGCTCCAGATCTTACCCCAACAGCTCATAAGCTTTTCCTGGTTTCGTACGCCGACAATGGTCCACCTGTGATTGATCCGTCACAATTCGCTTCCCCGGAGATGCAGCAGGACAGTCTAGAAAAGTCTCTAGCAACTTTGCGGGAGCTACAAGATGACGGGAGGGAGTATGTCGAGCGTCTTCAGGAGATTAGGGAGGGTCTTGGAGATACTCGGGCACAACGGAATATCATCTGGGAGATGGTGCGGGAAAAGGCTGTGAAAGAACTACAGGATGCGGCCTTCAGCGTCGCTATGGACTGATGTTGATCGATACAACAACAACTTCAGTCACATTCCATATTGTACCAGAGACGTACCCTGAGCGTCAGTAATAATAACATCTATCCTTACCGCTATCATCGTATGTCGCACATAAAACCAATCAGATGTGCTGTTCAGAAGGTGCGGTAATGTCGTATATCCGACCGGCCACTGGCAGATGGCAGACCGTCGGTTGTGGATCAAACCCTGACTAATTCTTGCTTCTCCGAACGGGCAACTATTTCTCTTACAATTTACTTTCATTGACATTGTTAACAGAACACCATGACTATTATTCCAGATGTCTCCCGCCTGGCCTTGAATGATCCAGGTCCCGAGATGCACCAGACAGAAATTCCAGACGACATCAACCACGCGCCTGACCGCTACATGCAGAAACTCAAGCTTTATGCGACTTCCCTCCCATATGCAATTGAATCAAATGCACGGATGCAGGACATGTTGGATTTTATCCTAAGGCGTATAGCCCAATGCGTAGAGGCAAAGGACTTCGAACCGGGTCTTGTTCAGTGGGACAGCATGATCACTTAGTGAGCGCCGGTAATTCACCTAGGAATACAATTTTTCTTACTGGTATTGTAGCTGGAACATGCTCAAGTACCCATTTCCAAAGGAGAAGCGCATTCGCCTTGCGAAGCTGTATTTTCATATCGCAACGACCCCTGGTATGCCCACGCAAGTCATGGCCGTCTGCGCGGATGGGTTGTCAAATTTGACTCGTTCGAAAAAGAAATTGAGCATTGACGATATGAGACTTCCATGGAAGCCTATCTATAATATCCTTCGGGAAGACTTGTTTTTGACTCGACGTCAGTTCGAGTACAGGCAGGTTACGCTTACTCTTCGGTAATTGCCCTATCTAACAGTCAACGTAGCCAACTTTCGTGGTGTATGGGCTACATTGCTGATCTATCGAGGAGGTTCTTCCACCCCGCGGCCATTGAAGAGATGCTGAGCACTTTCTTGCCAGACTTTAATGGGACCAACCTAGACGTGAGTTCTTTCCAGCAGAAACAGTTACACGTTCCTTAGCTTGCCTGCAGAGCGTTCTTTCGTCACAGTACTATCTTCTGACCTTCTTACCATTGACACATCCTCAATCGTATCTCCCTATGTTATGTCGTTTGTGGGAGTCTATCAACTCCTACATGTACGATGAAAGGATGTTGCAATTCCTGTCACGCCTCGCAGAGATGCATGTGGACCCAACTATCAGTGATCCTGCTCGCATTTATGATATTCTCGATGATGAAAAGTCTGAAGATGAGGGCAGACCGAAGTGGAAACAAGATGATTACCATGCAGGACAGACGTGGTCTGGCCTTTATAAGGAAGTTGGAATATTCACTGAGCACGAATGGCATCTTATTATGTGTAAATGCCTTGCCTCGATGGGTGGGCAGCCCTTGATAATTTACGTCTTCAATCAAGGCTGACTGACTACCGGTGCCTTTTGTAGCAATTCCACTGAAGGATGCTGGGTCGCTCACCACGGGACCTACAGCCGACTCTTCTTCAAGTTTTGAAATTGGAAGGCTGCCCAAAGCAAATTGGCGTATCCGTAAGTAGGTTCCCCTCGCAGAAACAGTTCCGCTGACATCTTATTTAGCATCTCTCGCCAAACTTATCGTGTACTCTATGGCCCCTGATGGTGCTTCTGCACCTCCCTCTACTGAGTCTACGCCGTGGTGTACACCGATGACTTCAGGCGTTAGCACGCCCCAAGTTAGTGGTTCCGTAGGCGATTATCTTACAGTGCCACTCCATAAGTGGGGGCCATCGAAGCTATATCTAGGTGGTTCTAAAGCTCTGGATTCGCTCGCACGTCTCATTGCCTCTACGGAACATTTCTTCCACCCCACCAACTCTGGAAGTTGGACATCCGATGTTCGTCGTTCATTCGCATCGGGCTTGAATTTCCGCTAAGTTATTGGTTGACACTGCAATTGCTGATCTGCCATATAGCTCACTGCCTTCGTCAAGTACATCGTGTACGAGTTCAACAAACGTGAGCTCCCTTTGAGTTTAAGTGCTTATTAACGCAATATTAACTCATAATTGCAAGGCTGGCACGAAGAACAACTATCCGACTGCAAAGTACCTCTGGTACGCCATTTGTGTCTGTTTAATTAGTGAAGAAATTTAGGTTACCGATCAGACTCGCCGGCTCACACGAGAGATGAGAAAAGAACTGGTCAAGTGCCTCCGGACAGTTGTGTTACTTGCCGTTTTCTCCCAGGATAGTTCCACCGTTTCAAATGTCCAGAGCGCTCTGAAGTCCATGTCGTGCATGGAGCCTGACCTGGTATTCCAGCCAATTCTGGAACGAGCTATTCCTTCGTTAGAGGCTCTCGTTGAGGTACCGCTGCTCCTGTCGTCGATTGTTTGTTTCTCACAGTTCTTTAGACCCAGCGCACCCTGTCCGTAATCAAGGCACTGAGCTCTATTGTTCCTGCAATCGTTTCCCGAGATATTTATTATCCAGGCGCTAAGCATTTGATCACCATTCTGCATCTGCTTGTACCTGGCATCGATCTCGTGAGTAGTTAGTCTAATTTGAACGCTACCCTCTCACTTTCGTCAAATGCAGAATGACCCAACTAAAACGGTATTTAAACCCTTCAAGTGCTTCTCCTATCTAATGCCTTATTCATAAGCTTTGCACGACGACATTTTTATCGGAAGTGTCACAGTACATTATGTTCGGGGACGTAACATCCTCCGAGAGTCCAGAGGCTTCTGACGTGGACATTTCTTCTGGTCAAATTACTCTAGATGATGGCCTGGGGGACACCATTCAATTGAAGTTGTCTAACGAAGCTGAAGATGCGCTTCTCAGAGACAGCACTGGCAGTTTTGCAAGTTGGGTAGCCAGTTTCATACGTCGCGTTATCCAGCTACTTGAGAATCTCCCGGAAGAAGGACCGAATGGGTCAGCCGGAGGGACTACGGAAGGTATCTTGACTTCATATGAATGTTGCTATTAACTGACCAATTTCTCTTCAGTACAAGTAGTGGATGCTGTGACTGGTGCATGCAGTCAAATCTGTGTCCATTTATCCGATCCACTTTTCGATCTCGTACTCAACATGATTTTCGATTACGCAAGCACAAATGTTCGTTCTAATGCTGTCCGTGCGATACACCAGTTAGTCGAATGCATTGCGAATGCCCACCCCGAAAAGACACTGTTCAAGTTCTTGCCCTTCTGTGTGGCAAATATCCGCACAGAAATAGAACATGGTGCAAGCTCAGTGAGGACGACATCTCCGTCATTGCCGCTTCCGTCGGATGCGACTCTGCACTGGAGTATGATTTTATCCCAACTGTAGCAGTATTGAGCGCTTATATCCTTGTTACACTATAGATCTCGCTATTCTCCGCGGTTGTGTCTATAAGTGTGTTCTTTTCCAAGTACTTTACATGCGCTAACAAACACCTGAATAGTGATGGTTCAGCGGTTAGTGATCCTAAAACAGCTACTCGGGCGCGAGTTGATGTCACTTTAGCTTCTCGTGTACAAGGGCGAACTCTTGTCGTTATTAACTCTCCTACGCGACAAAACTCTCTCGAAACGGGGGTACACTTGGAGCGGAAAGTTACTCTCCAGCGCATTAATCACACTCACTCATACTTACCCGATCGAAAACAAGTTCGTCAACCCCGAACAGTGGAACGATGAAGGTTCGCAGCTTGTACTTTAAGATGCGTTGACTGAGTACCTGCAGAATTTCAGAGAAACCATCACTTATACTGGGGGAAGTTATTTGAGCCCGGTGAAGTCAAGGTGCGCAACGTTTGACAATTGGAGGCGTCTGCAATGCTCAGCACTGTAGATTTCATGGCATGTCCCAAGTGCCGAAGAGATTGACTTTTCGCTTCAACTATTCCGCGAATTGGTCGAACCTGCGATGACTCGCCTTGACTTGTTGCTTGAAACCTGTAGGTTTGTGCAGTATCTTTTAACCTTATACTGAAAAGCAGCAAAGCGTCTCGAGACGCCATTTGGAGGAACGACTTTTGTCGGTGAGTTTACAGCAATTGATCAACCAGCAGTAAATTAATACCTTTGAGTAGTTATCTCAGTTTTGTCCGAGAAGCATTCTCCGGAATTCCAACGCTCTTCAAGGAGTTCATATCACCGGACGTGTTGCAATCTATGCTCGCCTCAAGTGATATTATGTACGTCATGTTGGCGCCCGTGGCATATGGTGTTTGTCTAACATGTCTGCAGTAATGAAATTCCTGAAATGATTGCATCAATTGAGCCTCTGGCTTCCGGGTTTTGCCTCACAGACCCGCAAGACACCCGATATAAATATATTACTAGACTCCGGCGTCGATTCGGGGAGTTTTTGCACGCAGCATCCCTGTCTCTGCAAAGACAAGGCGAGGAGAACACAGTTGATGCTGTACAGATGCTTGTACGTACTCTTATAGTACCTCACGACTTACGTTTCACACTGCCAAAGATCAGTTCAATCCGCACTTATTTACTCGAGTACGGCGACAGCAAGGACAGGTCTGTAATGTGATTTCACTTGTGTGGAAGTTGCTGAACATTTCACACAGCTACTATGTAAACACCGACCAATACAACTCAGAGATCGATGTGGCTCGTCAATATTCAGGACAGAAAGTTTGGCCGCGCGCAGTGTTTGTTCGAAGAGCTCGGTAAACCATCGTTCACTTTTCTTTCTGTTTCAACTTCCTAATTCTACATGTGCCAGATTTTATCATTCCTCTCGACTATTTTGGAACTCCATCGAGCGAGCTAGAGGTCCGCTAGAGAACTCCTTGCTGGACGATGTCGTTGAATGGTCAATGTGGCATTATCCGTCAGGTAATTGATCGTTCTTGGTTTCATGTTTCATGAATACTTCTAATTAATCTCGCATAGTGAGGCAGTGAGTGAACTCCAGTTCATTTTCCTTGATCAAAATTCAACATTTCGTTTAAGATCAAGCCAATCTCTTCTTGAATCCCTAACTTCAGTGGGTGCCTATATATGTTACGGGTGTCATGGACTTATGGTCATCACATTTGCAGGTGTACGATGGTCTTCGTCTTCGAGCTCTTCCGGCACTGTACAAAGCCCTACAGCCTGGTACTGATGATGATCGCATGAAAGGAGCGTTGTGGACGTTGAACATATCATCGTTTGGTGAGCCACGCCTCTTGACAGTGATAGACCTCGTCTAATCATCTCCTCAGGGCGATTTGCGATATCTGGTGAGTAATATGGATACCTTTTTTGAAGTAGCTAGATCCACTCTTCTGCAGAACCGACGTTAGTGCCAGAAATCATCAAGCAACTCCTTGGGTGCCATCATAATGAGAAGGTACTTTTCCTCTTGACCTTCTTCAAACTGGATGACAACGTCTTCCAGCCTTCTATCCAAAATTGTGTGTCTACGGTAACAGATACATGTAAGAACCACTTTCTCTTCTTGTTTTCTGTTTTCTTTTCTAAGCTGATTCGAGGTCTGGCCAACTTCTCGGAGCCTTGCTATCTCATCTATGACGTTAAGAATACCGCTCTCGATGAATCCTTACTTGCTCTGAAGAGCTGCTTGTCATTTAACAAGTCAGAGGATTCTATTACTATCCGGGCCCGTGAGAAGCGCATCGAGCGTGTATGTTTGATGAACGAAGAACATAATCGAACAGTAGGCAATATACTATCCTTATCAATGTGTCTCACCACTGAGGCTTGAACAGACTCAAGCGGTTCTCGAAATTGCCAATGACACTGCAACACATTGGCGCTATGCGATAGTGGCAGTTAGGGTTCTCCGCACTCTGATGCGCCGCGATACTCCAACTTCGCCTAGTCACCTTAATCTTTTCCTGGAGAAAGTATGTGATAGCGATCCTACCATGGTGCGTTTTTGTGGTTTACTAGGTCTTTGTAAGGACGTTGACATTTTTGTGGATATTAGCGCTACGTGAGATCATGACTGGCATCGAATTAGTCACAAACTGACTTGCTCTATATATCAGTATGCGCAAAGAGGTATCATGAAAGCACTGAGATACATCAAGCTTCGATCGTACTGTCGAAATCCAGCGGCTTTGGCTCTGTTCTCTCAAATCAACCCGCTACGATGCAACATTCCCATTAAAGGTTCGTATTCGGCGACCGCTGAGATACTCACCAATTTCAAGTTGCGGGTCCCTATCAGATCTTCAGGGACTCTCGATCTCAGCAGGTGGGTTTTTGTAGAGTCACGCTAAGAAGTACTCACTCCCATCGAAGTATATATTGCGATACACTACATCAAGGCTGGCTCGCCTGGAGTGGTACATTGGCAGCATACAAGTCACCTCATAGGTCGGAGAGCACCTTCGAATGGGAACCATCAAGCGCAGAGGCTTTGTCTTGCCTACGTGAAATAACAGTGGATGCAGACTTCTGGAAGAAACTTTCCGGACACTTCGCTGAAGAGAACCACGAGAGTACTGTGGTACAAGACCATATATCATGCGTCAAATCAATATGTAAGTCCAATGTTACTTCACAATCAACCTCCATAATTTCGAGATAGTCCAAGTATTGGGTGATGAACCCTGGGACTTGTTGAAGCCCAAACTGGAGATGTTACTGGCCGACCAAGATAAGAACAAGCAAAGGGCTGCGGCAGAACTTTTGGCTGGTGTTTTAAACGGTGAGCAGTTTACTTATGTAAAATTTTGTATGCTGACTGTCGCAGGTTCTAAACATTGGCCACAAGAGGCCCAAGATCAAATCTGGCAATGGTTCACTCCCTACATTAAGAAGACGCTAGATCAGAGCATGAAGACAGAGACTGTACCCATCTGGACTTCATTTGTCGGGGTGTGTGACCAAGAGCTTATAACTTTGTGTATTTATCTAAACAACTTTTAGTACATGTTCCATCACAAAGATCCGCGGCGACTCCAACCACTCGTTGAGCATCTCGTTGAACAATTCAACAGCATGGACTACAATGGACCATCATCCCTGGAATCTGTCAAAGTTCTGGCATTATTTCGGGCATTCTACACTGAATTAGAATGGAAATTCATATCTTGGTCGGACAACACCATGGAACGATTTTGGCGCGAGGTGCACAGTGAACACGATGATGTCAGTGCTTTCACATTCTTATTTATGATTCAGTGATGATTCTAATGGGGATTAACAGGTAAGATCCCATGTTGCTGAGATGATGGCATTTTGCAACGGTATCAAGGTTGGCGATTTTTGCATCCCGCTATATACATAGGTTGTTGACCTTGATGAATAGTGGCAACCCAAGCCTGCGTCTCTCGATGTCGAAGCTTTCGTACGGGAGTGTCGAGAAATGACTGATGATGCAGATATCATGGGCATACGTGGTACCTATCACACAAATAGAGTCCTCGAACTCGTGGACAACTTCAAAGTGTGGAGAGAGCAGCGGCTACCAGGTGTGAGAGCCTATCAGTCAACCTATGACAGGTAATGGATGATATTCATTTCTTCAAAGTGATCGCTGAATACTCTCAGAGTTGGGATCGTTGTTTGCCGATGGTTGTTCCTGTCAGTCCACAGTACTGATGCCATATCTGCATTCGACTATATTTTGCCTCTTATGGTACGTGGTCTATCACCAGCTGCTGAGAAAGTCAAGATTTATGGTTCTTTCAGCCTGAACTTTTCCGTTTCACTGAAGGTGCAGTTGTAAATGATACATGCCAGTCGATGTTAAAATCATCCTCTTAGTGCATGATAACGAGGAGCTAGTAAGGCATGCTAATGTACTTCTTGTTCGCATGTGTGGAGTCGCTCCTCCACGATCAATGATCGGCCCCTTATTGAATGCTATATTCTCCGCCATCCAGACGTCACCAGTAAGACATCTACCAGCGTCCGTAACTGTTCTAGACTCACTCTTGCAGTCATGGAAGGTTCGCTTGAAGGCCCTACCAATTCTACAGGGTAAGTTGTTGCTACTTTAGTCTGGTGCTTGACGACATCACATTACCTAGTTCTGTACTTCCGACAACTTCCTCTGATTAGCGAAAGCGAAGTCAGTGACATTCTAGACGTAAGTAGTTCTATTGATTTACCTCGTGCCTGCACTAATTAATTGTAGGTATTGTGTCGATGCTTGGACGACGAAGTCGTGGAGGTGCGAGAGATGGTTGGGACGTGAGTCTCGGAATCTATCTTCAAAACGTTTCTAACTCTTGTTCAGCACCTTGTCGGGAATACTTCGACTGTCTTCGAGGCGCAGTGTTGTGACTTTGAAGGTTGGTCAGTAGTTACATCGTCTTTTGATTTTATCCACTTTTTGGTCTAGGACCGATTTGTCAAACTGGCGGGAAAAATTCAGCTCCCTGATCGTGTATCGCCAGTTTACAATGCTGCTGTCCGTCAGCGGCACGCCGCTATCATTGGCATATGCGCCCTCATTGACAGTTTCCCGTACACCATCGAGAAATGGATGCCAGGGCTCTTGACGACAGTGATGCTGGAACACACACATGATCCTGTGAGCAAATCCTCATTTGCTTGATTGCATATTCTGATCTTCTACGCTGCAGATTCCAATTTCGACAACTATCCACAGGTGCGCGAGCAATTTTAGGAAAACACATCAAGACACTTGGCACGAAGACTCCCGGCGCTTTACGGATGATCAGCTGGCAGCTCTATCGACGTTACTGACCGGATCATCGTATTGTAAGTGCAAATTATAGTTCGTCCATTCCCGTTGTTCATGATGCTCTGTCAGATGCTTGATCTTTGAGAACCGAAATTTATTTTGCAGATCATGTCAGAGCAAATCTCATTGATGTTGGATATTATTGAATCGTATAGAAATAGGCTAGCTAGAGAAAGCAATTCCAATACTTGATATACAAGAAAGTTCAGTTGTTTGTGATGAGTCATTATGGTCCGAGGACTTGCTAGGTACATGAAATGTGTCAAGATGGAAATTGATGTGTTTATCATGCGTGTAAATAGGGTATAAGACCACTAGAACTGGTGGCAAAGGAGGTATTAGAAGAGTTTGGGGATATGAGACCATCCTCAAGGTCAGGGATAGCTAGACTCGAAGCGGCATATTCGTCACCATTGGCTGCACCAGTTCGCGCGCCTGCCTCGGGAACCGTGTCTATCGGGGGATTTATCCGATTATCGTAACCAGATTTCACGCGATTGTTCGAGACTGACTCCCTAGTGATACAAAATAGTCAGTTTGAAAGAGGTATACTACATAAAAAGAAATCCAACCGAATCTCAGCAATCAAATCATCGACATCATACCAAGCGAGAGGACCATATGCAACACCTCTCCACCAGCCAAGTAGATCGGCAGGGGCTAGATAGGCGTGTGCATGAAGATGATCTGTGATAGGAATCTTGTTGTCCTTGAAAGGTGGAGTAATGAAGCCGATCCGAAATTGGGATTCGGTATGAGGTTCCGAGGATGCGGCGGAACTATTGCCAGATGAGAAAGGGGGGGAAGAGGGCGGCGACGACGCGGACAAAAGCCTCCTTCCAAGGTTTCTAACATTCACAAGAAGAGGCAAGTCACTGGAAGACTACCAAAGCCAGGTAAGATTCTTCGCCGCGGGGAGGCCTGAGATTTTACGTACCAGGGTGTATATCGATGGAACATGGAGACTGGGGTATTCGATCAGGGGAAAGTGCTTGAAGAACCTGATATGGTAGATAGAAGGCTCACTTGAACGCTATGATTATATGACCACTGGAAGATACTGGATGAGCGTTCTCCCGGTACGCAGTGAAATTTTCATCTCTCCAGAGTATTTCTGGCTCTGTCGGCTCGTCTGGGCTGTGTGAGCGTGGGGACTGTCCGGGGGCATGAACCGCTGCAGTGGCCACGATCCCACACACAGGACACCCAGGCTTTGGTGCAAAAGCCATCGAGTACGAAGATAAGCTAACTCAGAGCAACTTAAACGAACAAAGGTTCTTAACCGAATGGCCAAATGGTTAATTATGTAAATGAATATGCATTGGCAAACTCAGTCCCCAATTCTCAGTTTCTTCATACTTATTCAAACTCCGAACCCGTTCAGCGTGACGAAAAAACCTTTGTCACGACCTCAAAATTATCTCATTGAGATGGCATACATTCAGATCGTACGGCATTATGATAGTTATAGCTTCAAGAAGACAATGTGTGGTTTTTAGGAGGCACGAAATACGAAGAAGTGGTGATAGGCAATGGTACGGCAATGTTGCAATGTGGTTGCCATATTATTGCGATATATATTGAAAAATAGCAGAATTTCTTGCAAATTCGTTTCAAGAATACACTAACTCAAAGTACATGTTCAAGGTTGTCGACCACCCTCCCCATCTTATTGTCACGCTTTCCAAATGGGAACCCATCGAGAAAGTGTCATCGAAGCATTTGATGAGTTCCGACAAGAAATAGACGAGCATCATGACCGGAGAGAACGACTTATCAAGGTTCCAGGCTCGAAAGAATCGACTGCGTCACTGAGCATTCTGACCCCTCCAATAGATTAGCCGGGATGCGACAAACCTTTCGAAGAAAGTCATCTTCCTACTCCACCGAGCAATGACAGAAGAGCCCAATAATGACTCTAATCCCTCTCTACGAGTAGTCCGTCGCGGTCGTGAAAAGCTTCGGGAAGTGCAAGCGCTATATGCACAAATAAGGCTCGAGGTACAAGCTGAGCGGTTCTGGCACTACCACAGAGCAGTATCGCCCGGCCTCCAAGAGTGGGCTCTAACATGGCAAATTGGTTGGCATATATGTTGAACGCCTTTGACTTCAGGTATATTGAAGCATTGGGCTTTGCTCACTACCTCGAGCATGGCACTCTGGTGTCATATCAGGAAGTTCAGCTTTCTCTTTCTGACGAGAACGGCATACCTGTGCGTATGCTACACCTCAATGATACCCGGATGGCTGAAATTTGCACTCTACGGCACGACCCTAGTATTTCACTCTTCCAAAGGAAGATTACTTGCTGGGCTTGTCTGATGTCACTGGCGAACTCATGCGATTTGCAATATCTGGAATAGCTCAGAAGGGTGGTCGCGTTAGAGCCAGAGAAGTGTGTGCATTCGTCCGGCAATGCAAGGCAGGCAAGTCAGTCAGTTTGACAATAGTGTGCAAAGGTGTAATTGTGGATAAGTAGATTTCGAACGCTTTACTCCTTACGTGAGGGAGTTATCCAAGAAACAGGCTGTAACTTCACAATCTCTGGAAAAGATTGAGGACGGTAGCGTTTTCTCTATCACCTGGCACTCATGGACAAGTACTGAACGTTATTCCAGCGGTGTATGCCATCGTGGTCCGAGGATCCGAATACGACATCCCCCCTGATATGTTAGACGACATTATCGCGCAGTCGATCTCAACTTTCAGTTCTACTACCAGTGCAAAATCGAGACTTGGTCAAAGAGACATTCGGAACGGAGATGATTACGAAGATGAGATTTAATACAGATACCCGGCAGAATTTTGTTTTGACAATTCCAATACTAATGCGAGCTTAGGCGGCCTATAGTTTATGTTGGTTCTGGTGCACCAATTACGCCTCCTAAATACGTACAACACAAAGTTGAAATCTAGATGTGAAACTCCACTTATGATATACTGGTTCGATCTTATTGCAGACATTGGTGTGGATTCAGGCGCCAATGCTGACCAGGGACTCCGAGTCAACATAGCGACATTCCTTTTGTCTATGGTATTTTTAGGTTAAATGACAGCTGCGAAGATGCTAATGCCATATGCGACAGCCTTCGAGGAGTCTTTGTGTTGCGTCGTGAATTATGGTAAGATCTCCTGAGTCCTGACCAACAACTTATAAGGTATCGAATACTCTCAGATTTAGAAAACCCCCGAAATGTGAAATCACCCACAAGAACAAAGAGCACTATGACTGTTCAACGAGGACATGAGCACATTGTTTCTGCGATCAACGGTAGATATATATACGAAATGATCTTACCTAATATGCACATTGCATAGATGGAGATACCGACCGACCAATGGTTTGTGCGTGATTTGCTTGGTAACCGGTTAGAAGCAATATGGCTTCATGGATGTCGCGACCGTGAAGCGTGCAATGAGCATGTAAGGAGTCCACACACGTTCGGAATGCCCACTTATACACCAGAATAACATAATCCCACACGTAAGGCGAAACGCTAACTTCATAGCATCCTGTGGTGGATAGGGGGGGTGGCGCGACTATGAGATTAACCGATCAGTGAATAGATGCGGCGGGCGAAACAGTCGACCGAATGGATATTTCATTGATCGCAAGACTGTGGCACTAAACAACGCCACTCCTGGCTGTGCACGCCTGGACAATATTCATGAGAATGGGAATTAGAGAGAGCGTTAGAATGTACTGCAATAAGCAAGCCCCATGAGACACGCTAGAACGTGCCCCAATAGAGTCCAGGTTCGTATTAAAAGTGGAACTTGTGTCATTATCGAAAGCAGTGCCAGGAGCGGTTCGAGCAACCGATCATTCCGAAGTACATCGAGCCCTGCAGAATGCAATCAAAGTCGTGGCTGTGCCAGTGAGTAAATTACCTGAGAACTGCGAAGGCTAGCCTCAACATGATGCCGCTTGATATAGCAGTAAGTACTGAGGGTTCAGCTCTACTAAACCAAGCGCTCTCGGGTGTAGTACTAACACCTGCAGGGGATTGCGGAGAAAATGAGCCTATAGTGGTTCGAGAAGCCTTTTATCAACTGATAGTATATGTTGATTGGAACGTCGATAGATGGGAGATTGCGAGCCATCGCGAACAAGCATCGCACATATCCCCGTGATCTTCCCCGGGCCAATGAAACCTAGTAGTAGTACACCAGAGTTAGCTGAAAAAGCGTTTAATGAATCTGAATCTGAATTATCACCTCGGCTTCGAAATTGATGCCACAGTCGGATGCCTGGTGGACAAATCGAAATGAGTACTATGCACATATACGCCCGATAAACACCCACTAGCGGTGCAGCTCCAGCAACTGAACCTAAGTTAGCCACATGATTGCTGAGTCGCCCACCTTTAAAATACTGGTGTGACATGTGGGCGGTATAGATCTCATCCAGAGCCCCAAAGTAATTTTTGGCTTGAAACTCACCTTCACTGTCAGAGGACGTGTTTGTGATTGACTGAGTATAAAACATTGGCACCAATTGCACTAGCACTGGTAATAATTGGATGCACAGTCAACGGCAGTTGCGATCGCCATCAAGTTGAAAGCCTGAAGAGGCCTGGAGCCTGTCTGTACTGTGGAGTCCTGGAATGTAGTTCCGGTCACTTGAAAGTCGACCTAATAATATACTGATTAGCAAGCCGTTTTGAACGGGTCACCGCTCATAGACATACTTGGAACTGCTTGGAATTTGTCTAAACTCTGTGTTGGGGAAAGCCTCATGCACATGAGTCATGCGTGATATCCTGGGAGGCTCTGAAGACGGCGGCCTTTGTGAATTATGAGGAACCGAGCTGCACTGAATGTGCTAGAATTTCTGATGGCATCAATATCACTGTAGGTCAATTTACGTGATGTGACGTGTAAGATAAGGCATCCAAGCAGATAAGTCAAGGTACTTCGCGATTGGTCTCCAAAACGTTGCAAGGTGCGAGTACAGTGCGACACCAAACAAGTGCAAATGGTCCTGCTGGCTGCTTGAAGCGAATAGCAGGCAACGTGAACTGCGACTACGATACTACAAGTAACAATTATGACAGGAATATAGAATATCGAATGAGGTCCGTTTAAGAATATAGGCCATGGAACGAACGTTGGTTACCGTCTCAGTACTCTTCGGCGCGGTAAAATCTCCACAACCTCATCGTCTTCATAGGTTGGGTCTTCATCTTCGTCATCTTCATCATCGTTATACGATCCGAGATAATCATAAACTGGTGGCACGTAGGAAACGATAGCGCCTTGATAGCGTCTTGTACGATAAGCGGTTTCTTTTGCCTTTACCATTAGTGCATTCGCTTGGGCGATTCTCCTCCATTTGCTGTAATAAGAGTACGTAAACGAACCAATGCGATCAACCGAATAGACTTGGGGAGCTTACTCGTGACGCTTCGTCCACTCTGCTAACCTGTCTCCCTTTTCTTGCCATTCTGATCGTCCGCTGACGCCAAGAGCACGGATGTATTGCTGGACTACGGCATCAAGGGAATAATTGGGAAGAAGTGGTTTGAGCGTTGACAACGCAGCGCGGCACACTGCACATGCCGGAGACGCTTTCTGTAGTAGTATAGGGCTCATAAAATCCGAACTTGTCCTAAAATAGAATATCTTACATTCTGGGCTATCCAGCCTTGAGCGCATTCTCCGCAGCAACTGTGGCCGCAAGGATTGCATAGGTGCGCTGCTACCCTAAAGAAGAACAAGATCAAATACTGCGATACAGCATGGAAACACTCACATGACATCAAAGCATCTACAACGTTTTTAAGACATCATTTCGCAGGCGAGTAGACCGGGTATCAGTACGCACATCGGACACATGATCTCGGTTTCGAATCCCTCGAGTATTTTGTTTGCTGTATCATGGCTGTCTTCGGCACTTGTCTTGCCTTTTTTACTGGCGGGCGATGTTTGCGGTGACGACGGTCCACGCTTGCGGTCATCTAGACCAAGAACAGCTGTACATGGTACGAGTTGTGTTGGTTCACGCAGAACTGTTAAACTTGATACTCACAAGATGAATGGTAGTGGGTTTCAGACATCATGCAGATGACACAACGGATACATAAGAGCTTAAACCATCGTCGGTTTTCAATGAAACGTACCAGCGCGAGCTGTTGAGTCGACATCATCTTTCAACATGTAACGACTAAAAATGTGCGGAACTCACTACTAATCAACTGCTGAGCAGTTAAAGGAGAAGCTGTATGCGTTGAACATAGGGGTTGTGCTATTAGTTGACGATTGACTGACCTCCGAGTTGAGATTGACCATGTGCAAACTGTGCTTCGAGAGCATCCAGAGCGGCGATGGTTGATTCATCTATCTCATCGTCGCAGTCGTACTCGGAGGGTAGGGATGACGTAGATGATTGCGATGGCGGCGCTGGTACGACCACTGTGGAATGAGGATCATCATCCAAAGGGTTGATCGAAGCTGGGGCCGGAATTTCCTGAAGACCTGGGACGTTACTCAAGTCCAACTGTCCGATATCGTCTGGAAATTCATCGTCACTATCTGCAGGTTGTTGTGGCATTGGTGAAATCAAACTTGGAGTTGGATGCGAAAGCTTGAGCAAGCTTACTCGCGAACTGCACGTGATAGTCACGTGAATCCGATCGTCTTGTTGGCAACCATAGACAGATATTACCTTTTCCTGAGCCTGGGCAGGGCTGCCGTGCTGGCTGACAGAAGCATCAAAGTTTTTTTTTTTTCGCAAGCGGACAAATTTGACCATGGGTTAATTCAATTTACGGGTCCTTATTGGTGTATTTTGGGAATGTTAGTTGCACCCAGCTAGTGTACATGTGGGGATGTGAACAACGTGTTTTTTTAGAGGCTAGACGGTTTGGAGAGGTTCCGGTTGCTTCCTTGAGGCATTATCAAGGGTCTTACGAGGTCCTACGATATACGGAATTAGATTGATAAAAATAGAATTGCCAAGACCCTGCCATTGTCAAAATTAGTACCTCCGTTTATTTCGTCAGCACGTGTCTACAGCTGTGGAGCTCATCGAACTACTACCACACCAGCGCTCAGCACTCGGGTGGATAAAATATGGGAAACGAAGCAAGTACTAGCGTTGTCTGCATGTTCGAACACGTCGTCAGATTCGCATTCAGATTTAGAATTCTTCGGGTATCCGAGCCTCACCTTAGGCTTGGCATTCTAAATATACCAGGTTCAAAGATAGAATTTTGGACTTGGCTCACCTACAAAAAGTCTGCGGTTGGCGCCGTTCTAACCCATTCGCTACAAGACGCTTAACAACCCACCTAAATGAATTCTGGCCCTCCTTACCCAACACAAGACTACTCTCGTTTGCCCTACCATTCAATTGAGGCAGACTACAGGAGACTCATCATGTCCAGTTCACAAATACTAGAGCAGGTCAGCTTATTCAAATCTATCATCCTCTCCTAGATGCTCACAATCACTCAGGCACCACCACCTAGCCTCAGAGAAATACTTGGCGCATACAAATCGAAAGGCGACGGTGACAGAGATATGCTCATTGCCATGTTGAATGCAAAGAGCGCCGAAGACCAGGTAAGCTTTCTCGTATCTTGCCTTGTCTCCTGTTGACCCCTTTACAGCGACTCGCATCTGTTGCTTCCTTGCACAAGACTCTCCTTGAAATGTCCGCAGCGGATGCTCGGCATACAAGCCCTCCACCTCCCTCCCATTCCTTACCACCCGCAGCACCTTACTCAAAACATGGGCTATTTCCAACTGACATGACCAATGGACGTGTCTCCCCTCAACAATTGCCTGTGGTAAGGGAACCCCCTCAGCTCTCTCAACCACCTCGAAAACGCCAACGCTCCTCTCGCTCCCCTTCATCGCACTACGAATTACGCACATCTCATACATCCTCTCGCGACTTGCCACCTTCGCCATATTCGTCTCGGAGTGATTCCGAGGAGTACTCGCCGCGCTCCAGAGCATCGATGGCGATAGGGTCATTGCTCTCCACCGGTCCTAGCAGAGATGTTCCAGAGGATCTACAAAATCATTCAGAGGGTACCCAACACACGTCCCAACACATATCTTCTGGTTCTGTTGGAGTTTCCGTGTAGCTACTGTACAAATTTGCTTCATTACTTATTGTTTTCATTGCGCTGTATGGTTAGCATTACTGTTTGTCAGAGTAGGCTCTCGTAATCTCTCACCTTTTCCTGCCCCTTGTGGGACCCGCTGTTATGATTGGCAGCAACTAGCACCAACAAATGGCAGTGAAATGACACGTCTGATGATATGGGCCGGAACTAGTGACCAAGATAATGGAACCAGACGACGCCAAGGACTTATTTATAACTCCCCAGTTATCTTTGGAGCCTGACTCTTTTGCTTTTGACTTTTAATCAAAATTATTCATCAACGAGTGAAAATAACTGCATGTTGGGAGTCGCACCCCACGCATGTTGGTCACTCGCAGGGCGTTTGGTGAGATAATAATAATGCGTTGCGTGGTCCAAGGTACCGAGCACACCGGGATGGTGAAACAACTTTTACTCTGCATTTCGTACTAAGATCCAAACTGGCGACGGCAACGTGTGTCTGTGCCTCTGTGGCAAATCCTGTGCGGCAAATCCTATCTGATACTAATCCAAGCTGGCTTGGTGTCGCACGTCTAAGTAATCCGATCTGACAGTGACACCCGTGAGTTAGACCATGATGTATTTAGCACCTGGGTAGCTGCTAACTGCAAATACTGGGTAGACACGCACATATTATTAGGCTTACGATAATACCCAGCAACAGCGTTAAATATTGCCTCAAATATCTCGGAGGCGGGTGCTCAATTCTAAAATGTCGTTTGTGCTGTTCAAATTTTTCCAACATAGGTACGGCATTGATTGCCGACGCTTGTGAATCCTTGTTTGGGACCGCTCGGTGACAGTCGCTTGGCCGGAACACTGCATCGTCAACCTTAATCGAATCAACAACCAAACGTTCGATGCTTTGCAAACTGCCGTCAACATACATGGCAACCAAAACATGATTACATTACCTTGCGGAGCAAGGTCATGTTGGATGGCAGATAATCTGTCAGTCACCTGACGTGAACATCATGCTGTGCAATAATCGAAAATGATAGAACTGTGTCAATATGAATACACAAAACTACTTCATAAAGTATCCAATTAGTTACTCAGAACTTGGTCTCGATGAAATACAGATACAGTCAAACTCTGAGCTCGGTCTCGATGTCATGATACAAATACAAATACAGTCAAGCTCAAAGCTTGGTCCCGATGACACAATACAAATATAGATACAGTCCAAATATGAGGTGAACTTTCAATGATGGCATAGCACCTCAAGAGAGGTATATCGATGTTTGGTCCGAGACTACTGTAGAGATACGACACTAGGTTCGTCACGTGCAGCCCGTGACGATGTCACGCTTAGTCTTACAGGTTCGAATGTCCAGGTGACCTGTGACCTTACCCAAATAGATTCGCCTGCGGATCGTAGTGCTTCGCTGCTCGCAACGCCGTTTGCAACCATCTGACATGCTGCTTCGTGATTCAAGCAACTTGCTTCAGTCTGTCATGGATTCGCCTCGCATAGCGCTGACTGGTAACGAGTGGAATTGGAGACTCTGTGGTCTTAAAGCCTGTGGGTGACATTACTGCCAAAGATGTGGAGAGTGGCTCGAATAGTGTTCCGAAGGTTGATTACGGGCGTGGAAAGCGTAGACGCATCGCAAATTCAATGTATGATGATTTCTGGTCCCATTAGCGCATAACCTATGTTTTTTTTCCCATATGTCACAAATTAGCTTCGTCCCACCAAAAATTCATGTGACAGTCACATGCCAGTTAGACAGTGATGAGAATTGTCAGAAGTGCATGGCTTACCTATCCGGTGCGAAAGTCCACCTAGCACGAGCTCGATCCCAAACAAGCTGTGTTCCTGGAGTCACAAAGATTGAGGATGAGGCAAAAAAACACCCAAGGATAGGATGAACTGAGAGAGACCACATACCTCATCAACACAGATACAAAGTTGGCCCTGTGTCTTGTCAGGTGCAAGCAAGGAAGAAGGTATGAGAGCCAACAATCAGTAAATGTCAGCGCGAGGCAACATGACCAAAGAGAACACATGGAGCTGCATGCACACAACATTTCAGCAGATGCAAAAATCACGGGATGATGTAGTGAGGAGTGAAAGACTGAAAGTGACTGGTAGAGCGCGTGAACCACAACCTAATGCTTGAGGCTGCATTGGTCTATTTGGATTTGTTGAACTTTTGTACATTTTGCATGCTGCTATGATGTTTTAATCGGCTTATCAAACATACTCAAAAGGCATTAGGACCAAGCTGAAGACGACATCGAATATGCTAAAGGCCAACCTATTAATTGGCTGAAAAAAATACTTATTGCAGTGAGAACGAAAAACAAGCAGACTCAGAACTGCCATCACGCAGATTCGGGGGTCTGAAAACAACGAGTGTTGGAAGAGGTTGACAAAGCTGATTCCCACGAATTAAAAATTCTCTGGAGCAAGGTCATAAGTTCGCACAGCGAACCCCTAGTGGATATGGTACTGTAGAGATTTGACACTTTGTCATGTACAGTATGGGATACAGTCACACTCAGTGTCACAGTTCTTGTGACCTGTGACCATACTTCACAAATGCATGCAAACTTAGATCTAACTTTGATCATTACCAACAATTCTGCATAAATATTGAGTTTAGCAGATGATCAAAACTCTCTACCCCCCTTTAACTTTTTCATTATTAGATGTCATTTTTGCAGAACTTAGGTCCTATTTCGCCAACCAAAATTCGAAAATATGGTCATGTGAAGGGGCCTGCACACCTGCAGCGTGCGGGAAGCTGCGAAGGGATCATTTGAACAGCAGCCTCCAAGGTACGTACCCTGCTCTCTTGTTCTCCATTTGACAGATATTTTTTGCCAACACATGCAGAGGTTGCTGCTGCAACTCGCAAGGTTGATGATGACCTGCGGCAGTAGTGGCGTTATATCTGCACATTTAATATATGGGTAATGCGCACCCCTGCACGCTGTCCCCCTGCACTGCACGTTTGATTCCCACACTGCGCATCTTGTTCATAGATGCTCTGCGTCTTGTCCATAGACCCTCCACATCTTGTCAAATAGAGCTGTGTTTGATTCAGCCCTTCTCTGCACTACATGTTTTTACAGATTGAGGACTTTGTCTACACTTTCATGTGGGTCAACTAGGTATTTTACAAGGCTTCCCGCATGCTTTAAATGAGTTTTGGGCTCGCTCATGATTGAAATAAGATGCCAGCGGTTGTATCAATATAAGGGGACAATCATGATCAAACTAAGAGTGATATGAGAAGTGTATAGTACATGTCATTGTTCAAACAACACCAACAACACTTACAGACAATGTAGTACAATTTGAAAGCTAAAATAGATTGAAAATTTGAATGACACATACTATGCGCACTTCACTCTCTTGCTTGGTCCAGCACTTGGGACATACTCCTCTTCATCAGCAACATGCTTGAGGAACTTGTGGTGCCATGCACAGTACCAATCGAATCCCATCTGCTTTGCTGCTGCCCGAAGATCCCTGTTGCATTTGGCCCAATCAAGTAGCTTACTTGGTGGGGACCAGTCCCTCACGACCTGGAGTGAGGAACTGAAAATAATGAAACATAATAATCAGAAGATAATGCTTAGTGCTTACAGGAGTGCTTGGTCATGCTCGTAGTCAGTCTGTATGTGGCTGACAACCGTATCACGGTGTAGGTACAACAATTCAGATGGTGAATACTGAATTATGTGTTGGGTCTTGCTTGCCTAAGCTGCTATGCTTGTAGTGACAAGTGTGTTCGACCCTAAAGGGGAAGCAAGTGCAGCGGGGATCTAGGGATTGGCACAGAGGGTGCTGCTTGTCGGCCGACGCAAAGCACGGGAAAGCACATGAGGCATGAGCACGGAAACAGAGCGCTTGAGGAGTGCAAAGTGCGGGAAAAGTGCGCAGAGTAGCGTGAGGTGAGGGATATAAAGAGAGACTCATAATAGATGGATAGACATTACTCTTATTGCCAATAGCTACTGACTATGGCCCGGGATGGATGAGCTATACACTGATAGTGTGGTGTAGGGAGCTTCTATATGATTCGATGATGTAAAACATGAACTACAGGTGCTTATATATGTCTAAAAATGCACCCCTGAAGTGGAGCCAAAGCAGTAGTGAGGAGAGTAGGTAAAATATGTAATAAGGGTCCATGACATGATGATGAGCAAATGATTAAAGTCTAATATGGTCTGATATGAAAATAATGACATGAAGACATACCAGTGAGGTTAGTTTGGACAATGGATGGATGTGCGACGCAGGGCACTTTGAGCGTGGGAAAGCGCGCTAGGCATGCGCGTGTGAATGTGGTACTTGTTGCAGGAAAGTAGTGCGCGCTTCATGCTTATTGCAGGAGAGTTGCGCTTCACATAGGAAATGATTGGAGAGGTGTTTAGAGCGAGTTGTGCATCAAACTGCACTTTAAGGTGTGTCGTAGATATGGCCTTTACGAGACTACAGAGATGTCAGTTTCTACAACGGATTATCTCCAGCATGTGTTTGAATATACATTTGACTTTCTCTAGGCCCTTGTTGTCTTGATTAGGGTAGAGTAACTATTAATTTGAATAGTTAGCATTAATATTAGACAAGTCAGAGGGATCATGTACAGCAGTAGCATAATATCCACACTGATGAGAGTTCAGATTCAAGGGCTTGTTGGGAGGGTGTATCCATGTGGTGATAGTGACTGTTGTTGGGTGGTACCATGTATGAGAGAGTGACACGACTCCACCATCTTCCAAGCATGCCAAGTCCTTAATCTGAACCCCCCTCTGATCAAGCTCCTTCTTGATGCCCCACTCATATGTGGGTGGAACGTGTGTCTGGGCTTCGACGATGCTGATGTGAGTGCCAGCTAAGATGTTCTTGTTCCAATCACCATAGGTCTGCAACCTCCCAATGGCACTTTCAGAGGTCTCAGAGACAGATACCTCAAATGGCCATAATGGAAGGATATCAGTGTCGCATGTCTGAAGCATCAGTACTAAGTCTGGTATTCCAAGCTGGTAGCTCTCATTGGGAGGTAGATCTGATGTAGTGGGCGCCTCTAACATATGCGCCATGTGGATAGGCAAGGAAACATTGAAGTCATCAGGGATGGTAAGAGAATCAACAATAATCCCCATTGCAGTGTGCAAAGGCACCAGGATCACTTCATGTATTGGTGAAGGCAGGGTGGCAATGAGTTTTTGAAGATGTGGAATATATGACAGTCTGAAGCAAAGTACAAGATCAGCTTCAATTTGGAAAGGACAGAAAGACTCACTTGTGAACCACTCTGCAATCCGATCTGATAACATCCAAAATATATGTATAATCTTCTTCTGAAACATTCAAGAACACCTGCCCCAGCAATCAGCCTGAGAAAGATAAGAAACAGGTGGCTTTTCATACCTCAAGTTTGGGTCCATCGCCACCATTCCATATTCTACTGATACTCAGTTGGTGCAGGTCTACAAAGCTTGGGAAATAAACTACATGGTCCATAGATTGCAATAAACATACCAGGACCTTCTATGTTTGATTCTACATTTTGGTCTTCTGGCTTCAGTGAGTCTGGCATTGACCGAGGCTCATTTGTTACTGCTGGGCTTGAAGTTGACTCTGCAGTAACAGTGGTGGCTCCATCTCCAACAAGAATTGTTGCAAACTCCCTCCTGACATTCCCTGGGGATGGTCCTCTGAATGATCCAGAAAGGTTTGGTTGAGGCTGCCAGCTGCTGCTGTACTGTAATAAATGGATGGGAGGTATGGTTTCAAAAGTTGGCCTTTTGTTACAATCACACCTTATAAGTGAATACTGTAGTGTGAGCTGGCATTCAGCTTTCAACCGGGGTTTCCTGCTGTAACTTGGCATTTGGCAAAGAGTGTAAAGCAATGGGTGGAGTGTATGTGATTGCAATTTATTATTAGCTAGTGCATCATGAGGATGCAAGGTAGGTGCTATAGGATGGATGATGTGACAAGTGTGGGATGAGATTGACAGTATGTACCACAAAGCATGAGGAAGAACAAGAAATGAAATTAGTACACTGTATGTAGCTCAAAGGAGACCAGTATGGCACTCAAATGAGAATGTTAGTAGGGTTCTGAAACATGATATAACGAGAGTCCCATGGATTGATCCATTCCAGGGTGAAGGGGTCATTGTCATCTGTTTTATGGCGCCAGAGGACATCATCCTCACTGACGGACATAAATTCAGGTGGAGATGACAGTTCATTCTTGAGTCGTAGGCCAGCAGCAGCATCAGCATGTACCCGACTGTGAAATGACACCGTTTCTGCTGATAATGGTGCAGATTAAATAATAAGCAATGAGCCAACAGAATAATGAACTTATGGAGGCTACTGAATTGAGCAGGCTGGGTTAATGGGAGAGCTTGAGAACTTGAACTTGCTGAGTCCATAAAGAATAGCGGAATGCTAGTGTCACTTGCTAATTCTGAACATCAAATTAAGTATCTGAAAAAACAGGTGGAGTGACAAACCTTTCTTCACTTTCTTTTGAGCCCCTTGCTTTGAATCTGATGGTGACTTGTCAGGAGAAAGGACTCTTTTCACTGCAAAACAGACAAGTAAGACATACATGCTTAGTATAATCTGAATAACTAAACGCTCACTGTGATTGGTACTTTTTAGCCTTCATTTTACCTTTGGGGTCTGAGTCCTTAACTTTGACATCAGTCAGATCCAATTCCATTAAGGAACTCACAAGCTCGTTGTCTGACTTATCGACAGCTGAACTGTCTGTATCAGACAAAAGCTGGTCACTGCCATCATGTTCGGAATCTGAACCCACAATGACAGGCTGTGTGTTCCAAGATTTGTAGATGTCGTCAGGGATCTGATTCCTCATTACTGATAATTGGACTTCTTAGCACATAATATTGAAGCAAATATACATGAACCTACCAAACCAGAGATGACATTCACTGGGGCTGGCTTTTTCTCGTCCCTTATGTTTTGCGAGGTCACTTCCAGTTGGAAATGCGACATCAACAACCGTCAATACCAGTCCAGACTTGTTCAGGAGGCACCAAACAGATTTCTCTTCTTGGCCGGGCCATGGTTGTAATGTTCGCTTTTCAACTTGCATATCCAGGTATCTGAAGACCTTTGGAAACCAGGTACATAGGTTATTGGTGATCTTTGCATATGACCATCCACTGTTGACTCTAAATTGCTGGTCAAGGTAGCACCTGCAGTTCCTCATGGCCTGTATCTCATTCTGGCCACCCCTGCTTGGTTTCTCTGATGAGACCATTCCTCTGTCAAAAGATATAATATTAGTTTGATTCATCGAGAATACTACTTGACTGACATCGACACCACAGGTTAGTATGGCAATTGATGCAACTCGAAACACAGTAGTTGCCGCTGTGGTACTACTAGAGGCAGTATTCTGGCGCACTTGACTTTCTGGGTATGGGTTGGTCTCTTTGCGATCCTAGAAGTTATCAAGAAAAATTTTGTACTAGCTATCGGCATATCTCGTACCTTCCACAAGCCAGCTGATGGTGCTGAACAAGTTGTTATGGCTTCTTCCCGGGCAGTAGCAAGTGAGAGACTCCCTCACTTTGTAGTGGATGACTTTTCATTGGCACTCCTGCCACCAGCTACCCGATCGAATATCTCCTTGATGGCGGCTGATGAACTTGGATGAGGTTCATCTTGAATATTCTCCACTTTGTAGCCTGATACATTGTGAGGGTGCTTGCTATGGCCATGGCCACACTCCACACAATGACCCTTATCCTGTGAGTTGGCGAAAAATTCCTCGCAGTCGCATGGTTGACTGTCGGCCTTGACATCTCTACAAAAGATGCCTTTATTGCTCTCACTGGCAGGATCCATGCAGTTACAGTGACACCGCAAGTGGAAGAGGGTGTAGAAAGACTGTGACTTCAAGAGGAATCAACAGAGATGACCTGAAGTGAGTTATAAAGTCTGGTGATCGTGTATATTTAAGCTAATTCTGAGATCACCGCCAATTGGACTATGTGATGCTTCTCATTCACATATTATCCAAGTAATACCAACTAGTAAGTCTCGTCACTCTCTACCGGCAGCTAAAAAATATGACAACACTACTAATGCTTGACACCGTAGCTTTGCTCGCTTAAACCATATCAATTCACCAAGTGACACATGAAGCCCTTTGGATCCCCGCCGACCAACAGAAATAGTTTCAAAAACCGGGTATTCATTACCTTCCCACTCATCTGTGGCCAGCCTGCAATGGCATGGTGTTATGTCTTCGGCTATAACTTCAGTGAGAGTGGCAGAAAATTGCTGGTATGTTCCTTCATTGATGAAAGGATTCCTTTGCGATGGAACACTGATAGCTTCATGGTGGACATGGTCTCTTTGTTGGTTATTGACCACCTGTACTATATTTTGAGATTCCTTGCTATCATCACAGTCTTCTTCATCCATGGGATGTCCCACTCCGGTCTGGTGTTGCTGTTGAGTTGCAACATGGCCGTAGACCCTGTAATGTTCTTCGATTATGTCAGGATGTATCCCTTCACAGTCGTCTCAATATACACTGAATTGTACCTGCCCTAAGAAATGTAAGTCCTGTTTTTATGTGGCAATATCATAATTATGTCAATAGTGTGTCTGTGATCTTACCTTCAGACTCGTATTGTTTGTATCTGGACCACTTATCGGATGACAATTCTATTCCGCTTGGAAATCTGAGCAATCTTGATTGATTTTGCCAAGAAATAGTGTTTGAAGTAGCCAAATGTGGCTAGGGATGTTGGGGCGAAGTCCATGGTAGTTCTCAAGTTGAGTAAAAAATGCTCTCCATCTCTGAGCAAACTGGGTGCCCACCTCAACCCACAAACATTCGATTCGTGAATTACAGGTAGAACTGGTACTTGTAATTAGCATGTAATATAGTGAATCAACATAATTAAGTAGTATAAATCACAATCCCCACATGAATGATGCTCGGCGTGGTCCATGTTTCATTATCATATAAGTCACAACATCAAGGTTCTCTTCACCATGATCTCCTCGTACACAAGAGGGTGTCCCAAATTCTCATATTGAATGTTTGAAAAGATCTAAGACAGTAGTAGAGCAGTTGTTATTACTCACTTTGAGTCCAGTTATCTGACAAAACTAGACATCTGAATCAAATACAAACAAGATGCATTAGGCTCAGACCATTCTGCAAAACCCATCAATAAATCCATGAATAATGATTTCCCATTGAATTGGTTTATGATGCCCATCTATGTGCCATAGAGCATTGGGCCGCTTCACATGGTATTTTCGCCTGCGTTTGACTCGACGGTCTCATAACACCTGACCCAAGCCATCCACTCTATGAAGTGATTCTACAACTCGTCGATGTTGCACTCGGAGACCATATCTGTGAAGAAAGCCAATTATATATCTGATGCCTGAGTCTGGTCGCTTTTTTTTGAACTCGCCAACAAGGATATTGAGGTCAGCATTGGTGAGTTCAGAGTATCTTTGTATAATTCCATGGGATTTCATATATAGTTGCAGAGTATTCCTGTGGAGTTCTAACGTCTTGGCCAATTCTGTCAGGTTAATATGTTGTGAATTTGAAAGTGCTTCAACAAGGAATTGGATATCAATGATTTTTTTTGGGCGACCTGCACGATTCATGGGCAGTAATGTTACTGGTTCAAGGAACACTACATCCTTGTCCATACTTCATTGCACAATTAATAACTATTGAAATTGAGCAAGTCAAGAGTGTGAATCACTGGTTTTGAGTATTGCATTGAAACAATGATAACTGTGCTGAGAGCTCCCCTAGCATGTTTGCTGCATGAGACAGCCAATCACAAATCTCATTTCCTTGGGGATTTCGTGCAAGCGCTTCTAGGAGAGGTACAGTGTCTCCAGCAGAATGTCAGGGATTTGGCCAGTCTGGGAGAAAGTATGGGAGAAAGTCTGGGAGAAAGTCTGGGACATCGGCAGGCCCATCGGCACCTCCATGCGGACTTTAAACTGTGCTCGATGTTTCGAATGGCCATGCCAATCAGTCCTGCCAGCGAGCGCACCGCCCCTGCCACCTAACATCTCACTGGAATACTGCATGTTCATGCTCCGCCTCAACCCTGCCCTCCACTTTTGCCCGCCCCTCTTGCCCGCCCATCTCCTTACCAACCCTTCTCTCTGCCCACCCCTCCTTGCCCGCCCCTCTCCTTGCCCGCCCGCCCTCTGTTCTTTGCCTGCTCCCTGCCTGGGGATAACTGCCAAGATGTCTTTGTTGCAACAAGTGGATGTTGCCTTTCTTTCCAGATTCTCTCTGCGTCTATCATCAATTGGCATCGTTCTTGATTGTGCATGCTGTGGTGCTGCTATTCCTCTTTCGATCTGTCGCAGCGACCTGAATGGAAACTCGGGCAAGCCGATGGCAAAGGTATGTCATCACTGTGTGGTTGACATCAAATTAACACCCCTTGCCCCTTGCCAGCATTCATCCTGCTCCTTCTACTGGTGGTTCCCCCAACTCCTTGCATATCCAAATATCATCAATCTCATCTGCTCATCGAGTCTGTCGTCGAGTTATTCACTGACCTTCGCAAGTTCGCAGCTAGTTGCCTCTACCTCCTCGAGCAGTGGAACCACTATGTTTCCTTTTCCCTCGACCCAGCCTCATACCAAATCTAATGGCAAGAAGCCACAAAAGCAGGGAGAGAAGTGTGTTGGTTCCTTCTGTCAGTGTCTGCGAGCTTTACGATGCACACGTGCCATGTGCCTGACTCACTGCACCAATGCTGGTGGATGTGCCATCCATCCTGTGGATACAGAGATTGTGCATGGCCATGAGGACATGAGTGCGCAGGAGGAGTTTGAGATTCTGGCCGATGAAGAGGCAGACATGACTGTTACAAGTAACATCGGTCACGTGGCCCCCCTATCATTTTCCCTTCGTCCTCGCCCTCACCATCTACCGGCTCATCCTCCTTTACCGACTTTCCGTTGACTGGATCCTCGGGACCATCCCCGTCCCTCGCATCGCCCGCCTCTATGCACGTGCACGCACGTTCCTCCAATGATTTGACCACCAATGTGGTCCCGCACCTATGACTCGGTCTGACTCGTGCCACCAATGTGGCTTTCCCTTTCTGTTCCTTCTGACTGCGGATTCCCGCACGTTGTATTCTTACCGTTGGTCCATTCCAATGTTTGTCGGTCTCATTCCACATTCGACCATCCATCACTAATCCGGCTCTGTTGCCAATGCACCTATACCATTCTCGTTTCCCCTTTACCCTTACCTACTGTGCGGTAGCCTTGCCCTTAACCCTCTCCACTTAGTATAAGTAGTCGGTCACCCTGTATTAGATTCTCTAACTTGAATCTACTCAATCTTCCCTGGAACATACTTCCCTCTGAACGCCCCTTTGGCTTCAGTCTCTAGTATCTTTTCTTAGTTGCTCATCACGACTAAGTCTACCTCGATTGACCTCATCGTTCGGACAAGACTGTCCTTACCTTGAGCGACTTCTAAGACATCCGTCTCAGAAGTCACATGACACGCGCGTACTGTGATCACTGCCGACTCGTCGTCGCCAGTCTCACTTGCTATACCGGATCCTTCCGGTTACGTCACGAACGTTAGCAGACGACGCCCCTCTTAGGGCTCTGCATAACAGATCTATTTGAGTGCGTAACAATGACTACACTTGAGCCTGGGGTTGATAGTGATGATACTGGTCATGGGGCGCTTTGCCAAGCCTTGGTGCTGTCCCTTAAGATGTGTGGTCTTGAGTTCCCTGTAGTACCCCCTCCCCATATTTCTTTTCATGATTTGTTGACGGCTCCTGTCATTACTATGCCATCCTTGACCACACCCCCTCCAATGACATTGATTGCTGCACCTACACCTGTGCCTGTGCCCGCACCTGCACCTGCACCAATTAAGAAACTTCCTTGCATCACCCAACAGCTTGACCCCTTGTGGATATCAGACCTCAATGCTCGTGTGCAGCATGAAGTTAAACAACAGCGGATTACCGAGCACCGGAAGGAGATGGAAAAGGCAGTGAAGCAACAATTCATCCTCCACTGGTATGATGCTGTATGTACCAATGTCTTTGTGTTGGTATATGTACTAACTACTGTCATCAGGACAATGCTCCAGTCATAGAAGAATGGGTAACCAACTGCCCTTTCTTCCCTCAGTTTCAGCTTGCAGACGATTCTGTTCTTGTCGATTTGCTTGGTGAGGAGATCAACAAGATCGAGGTATTCGACGAGCACATTCAACGGTGGATCCCTGCAGGTCTTACCCACACATTTTCTCTCCAATCTGGCTGTCATATCTTCATTCGTCGCCAAGGTGTCACTATCTGTGAAGGCTTCAATGACCTCTATAAGGCCTCCAGATGTAGTGTCTGCCCTCCCCATCTTTGCTACAACATGAAAGGGGAACGAGAGGGTGTGCATATGAAAATCAAGCACAAACTCGATGTTCCAGTTCCGTCAGACTCTGGATCAGATGTTGAGATTGTTGAGATGCCTGTCACACCCATTGCAGTTGGTAAGGGGAAGCGCCGATGCGAAGGCAGCCCTCGGGACATTGATACTAATCCACCCATACTTATTCACTGTCGGCTTGATCTTAATGATTTCAATACCTGTCGTGCAAGCTCGTTGTCACCCACTCCCCTGTCGGCGCCACAAACTATGCTATCATCCAGTGATCACCGTCGGTTTGATCTCGATGACTTTGATGTCTGTCGTCCAAGCTCGATGTCACCCACTCCTCCCCTATCAACACTACAGTCCCGTTCAGCCCTTACCAAAGTGTCCGATACCACCGAGCCATTGATCACTGAAGTGTTTGTTCCAGCATATAATTCTACAAAGCAGGTCTGGCCTCAAGGCATGTATACCACCGACATGGTCATGGGCTTTGAACAAATGGACGACAAGAACTTGCGAATGAGATTTCAACAAGATGATCTCTTTCATCGTATATTCGGTGTACCATTTGTCAAGGCAACCTATCACGAGAATCATTGCGCATGGCAGAAGATGGATCCTAGTATCCTTGCAATCTATGAGGCTGCGGGCCAAACTGTCAATGGTCTTTGGTTGCACTATTTGGCCACATGCAGAGCAGCACTTGGGGAGAAGACCAAGAAGCCAGGGAGGCAGGCCAAGTAATAACACCATCATTCACATTTACTAGCCATTCCTTATCATCCATTCACTTGATTTGTAGTTTCTATTATCTGCTCTGTTGAATTACTCGCTGCATTGAATTTAATGTTATTGTATCAACTAAACATGCTGGGGTACTACTAAGTGCGGATGATGGGGATGCCTACCTTGTGCATGCAAGGTAGTTACAGTGACACGATTCTGCCGCTTGATCATCTCATCCAAGAAAAAGTCATACCTCACTGGTGTCATCTCCTGGCAGATGTTGTGGAAGGCACTGAACCACACATTGGTTTGCTCAGCGATAGATGAGTTGAAGTAATATTTGCCATCATCATCTAGCAATTCTGGATAGGCCTTCATGTCACAACGGTCACAGCAGAAGGTGTCGCTAGCCTTGTCCTTGTTCTTGTGATGAAATGCGTCAATGCACATCCCCATGCCATCAAAGAATTTGATATGTCGGTTCAAAACCTCCCACAGTGCATTGCCATTAGAATCGTAAATCAAATGTTGTGGCTTGCATGCGTGAGGGAGTGAATACAGCTGTTTGATCATGATCTTGATGGTGTCAGTTGAAATACATTTGATTGAGCTACTACAGACTTACAAGAACATTGGAGACAGCTTCATGATGATACATCATGCCACACCCATTAATAACTCCACATGGGTGCACAATGAGCTGCTCATTATTGGTATGCTGGCATCAGAATATTGCTTTGAGCTTAGGGGGTGCATCCTTGCTTTCACAGTCAGCGGGTGGATGAGACCTCTCTGGTTGTGTGTCAAGAACACCAGTTGAAGTCATTACAGCAGGCTGCACTAAGCGCACAGCTCCAGTCTGAGCATCATGTTCATACCACTCATCTCCATCTTGGATGGGAAGAGCTATAGTTGAGTTGGCAGGAAGCTGTGGTGGATCAAGGGAGGACAAGGCATTGTTGAGCTTAGTGACCTTCTGACATTGTGTTTTGCTCTTTTCACTGCGCGAAGACTCAACATTGGCACTCTCCATCTTAACATGGACCAGATCATCACATGCTTTTTGGTTCTTGCCTGATTTGCTGTCGTGGGTGACAGGATGATTACAGCCCTCCACAGCACAAGTCATCTCTAGCTTTTTGTGGTCAGGATCTGCTGAACAGAAGTGGTGATGATTGTTTTCAAGAGAATTTTTGCACCATGGAACACCACAGCATGGACGGCCAACAGTAACTCCATCAGTCACAACAACTTCTGTGCGTGCGAGCATGCCATCTGGCATGTTGAATATGCGCATGCACCAATCGCAAGCATGGGGCAACTCTTCTTGGCCATGAATGATGATGTGCTCAGTACATTCACACATTGCAGTGGTGTAATGATCTTTTTGTTCGCCTCCATGAGGCACCTGTAGTTGGACATGTCGCTGGTTGTGGTCATCGAGTAGTGCAAGAAGGGTAAATGAATCCCAAACTTCAGCAGTGGTGAGCGAACTGTTGAACTGCCAAGGAATGTTGTCATTGTCACGGTCACCAGCATCATGGCAAGTCTGGGCAATGTCATACAAATGGGCACAATTTGTTGCAGAGACACTGCAACAAAATAACATCAGACACTAATAACAGAAAGACTGTAGCGGTTCACACTCACGCGATCTGCATTAGATCCATCCAATGCATTGCAAGCTCACATTGAATGAATTGATGTTCAGCAACTTGGATGTAGGATGGCATTTCGCTGTAGTATGTCCTGATACCGTCCTTGACACTGTAGTTGTGGTAATAATTGGTATGGCATTCTATGACAACGAGTTCACTGCGAGTGTCAAACAAAGGCAGCAAGAGTATAACCTACCTCGACACCTCAAGTGCACCGACCATGCTGGTTGAGCACCATTTGCATGGGTAAAGATGACTGCCTGATGTTGCTCTTCTTTCTTGAGCACTGTGCTGACTTGCCATGCACCACACTCTGGGTTAGTGCACAGTTTGGTAGGTGGATAAAGAGTACAAGAAGCTGATCATTATATGAGTGAGTTAGAATGAACGTACACTGATTTAATTTACTCACTAATTCCTCACTGGTGTCCATAAAGCCTGAACATGTTCTCTTCATCAGCTCTGGCCTCATCTGCAGTGGGTAGAACCCATGCTAGATCCTTCATGATATCCCACAGTGCATCCACAGCTTTAGGTGATATAGCGACCACATCTGAGAGAAAGTTGGTTATTGAGGGGGGCAGTATATCAGGGGCAGCCGTGATGCTGACAGTGTACGGCTGAGGCTGGATGATGTCATCCTTAAGGAGGCTAGCACATCGCAAAAACTGGCCCAGATCAATATATGACATAGTGATGAGCTCGCTATGTTGCTGCATGGCAGCAAAAAGACTCCCAACATCCATGGAAGTAGTAAGTCCTTGGCACTGTTGCAGACAGTGAGCAAGCATGAGAAACAGTGATGGGCACAGAAACATTCATACTCCGCTTGGAGGTGCTGATGGGCCTGCCGATGTCCCAGACTTTCTCCCAGACTTCCTCCCAGACTTTCTCCCAGATTCTGTCCCAGACCGGCCATTTCAGAGATGTCCTCGTCTCCAGATAGTGTTTCTACATGAAACATAAGCTGAAGGGGATCAGCGTCTTCTTGATTTAGAATCTGAAAAGCATGCCAGTAGATATCCAACAGTGTATCATGTGCAATGAGAAAGTTTGCTGACAACGGAACCTGAGTCACTGCACAAGATGGGAATTGAGGAAAAACCTCTGGTAGTATTATAGGCATGAGACAGTAATGACATTCATCATCAATGAGTTCAATGTTAGTACTATACTGCAGAGCATGAGAAACCCAACACAATCCAATAAAGTAGGCAGGATTAACTTCAATGTCCGACTTATTGCCAATATTTACTATGTCTGAAACTAATGTACCAACCCGACACCCAATCTATTATTTTCAAGCTTCAAGTCATATCTTTCAGGTGAAGTTTTTCCATTTATCAAATTACTCATTTTTTGAAAGTTGTTGTGCTGGCCCAAGGTCGAGAACATATTGTACAAGCTTTGCCAATCAATTTTGTTGGCATCTTCCAACATTTTTTGTGACATGTTTGCTGCCACGCAAATAGAACTGGATGGAATGAGTGATGATAAACCCATTCACCTCAACGGACTGTCCCGGGAGACATTTGAGCTGTTTCTTGAACATACCTTTGAAAGGTATGTCAATACGTTGTTCATGCTTCTTACTATTAATGTTTGTAGAATGCGCACTGGCTCTTATACCACCAACGAGCTCTCAAGATTCCTTCACTTTTGTGACATGTATCAATGCCGCTGCCATACACGAGATTTTGTTGTGCACCATATATTTACTGCATGTTTCCACTTCCACCCGGCTCAATTGGTTAACATGGCCATCAAATACCACATCCGCTCCATCTTTCCTTTCGCATTCCAACTGGCAGAAACACCAATTTCAGAAATCACACACACACACCGGGAGCTAATGGGAAATGAAGTATTTTTGAATGTTGTTTATGTTCAAGTGGCACTTGATCATCATCATTGGATTGTAGCTGCAGAGGAGCTGAAGATCTTGATGCACTTGAATGATTGTCAAGACCCAGCGGGTTGCAATGAGGATTGGCATAGTATTTGGTGGAATGGAATGAGCCACTTCCTTCTCAATGGCAGGAATCTACAACCATATAGTGATGCTGTCAAGTGCTTCAAGGAATTGAAGTTTGGACAGGTTAGTGAGGGTTGCAAAGAGCTGATGTTCAAGCTCCTGGATCAAGGAGCTGCCTTTCATCACGCTGAACATTTTATTTCTGAAGCTTGTCACCTTCTAGTCGAAAAATGAGTTTTTGAGCCATAGTTTCAGTCGTGTTTAGTACCTCTACTTTATTTCAATCACAAGCAAGCCCAAAACTCATTTAAAACACGCAGGAAGCCTTGTAAAATACCTAGTTGACCCACATGAAAGTGTAGACAAAGTCCTCAATCTGTAAAAACGTGTAGTGCGGAGAAGGGCTGAATCAAACATGGCTCTATTTGACGAGACACAGAGGGTCTATAGACAAGACACGGAGCATCTATGGACAAGATGTGCAGTGTGGGGGGACAGCGCACATGTGTTACAGTCATCCGTAATGACTACAGAAGCCCCCACTCTGCTAGACTCCTGACGCGGCGGCGTGCCGCCAGCCCTTAGAAAGACAGCGGTCTGGACTGCCATGACTCTGCCCCTGGCCTAGGCAGCCTTGTACCTGATCCATGGAGGCTGTACGCCTCATGGTCACCCTAGAGCGGCACATGTTGATTGTTGCTGCCTCATGAAGATCCGGAGTGCCTCCAGGTGCCTCATGTATATGTGCAGTCGCACTTGGCGCTGCATGCTTGATCAGAGGTTATACCTCATGTATCTTATCTGGTCCTCATGGTCTCTTATCATAGATCCCAGATATACTATTAGATACAGACTGAGCTTGAACACTTATATGTAGACATATAAGTAGACAGATTATTGTACTATGATCTTTACTTTAATCTACTTGGTTCTACCTTGAAACCTGTTCAACTAAACCTCCTAGCTTGGCTGTCTAGACCGCACTTCTAAGTCGCTCCCCGCGCCTTAGCCATATCTGCTAGCCCTGTATCTCGACGAGCGCCATCTTACCGAGATAACCGGAGGAACCCTTGACGTTCCGTCAAGTCGCCGAACACCCTTAGCCTTGGTGGGCTCATTCGAGCCGTTGCTAAGAAGACCTATCCAAGTTCCCATACGCTGACTGATGGTCAGTGTAACAACATGTATTAAATGTGCAGATATAACACTGTAGCACTCAGATTGGCATTGGGCTCGTATCCTGCCAAACTCATAGGTATCTCACATACATATTCCTCAACACTCCTTTTACCTTTTTTTTTTTTTTGCATCGGATTGAGTCCTTTGGGGTCGTAGACCCTATGTTGGACATTTCTCGTCATATGCTTTTCCCTCGTATATGTTTTGGTGGTATGGCACTATCATTCTATGTTTTTGAACGCGTACTACTCCTTTTACCTTCTGAGAGTTCTGTGTGTTCGTCTGAGTCGTCCGAAGGTCATCCGTCCATTCCCGATGCCTGTATGCACTTCCAATCCTCCATACCATGTCCCATCCGTGTCTGTTTGACTTTGCTGGTGCATTTTCTACTTGTTTATCTGTTATTGATTATGTCTTAGGGGCACATATGTTGTTGGCCTGTCAAAATCATTGGTTAATATGTATAGCTGCGCGCCTCATGCACTATTACATGCATATCTCTGTAGCAGCTCACCTCAAGTCTTATTACATTTTGGATGGCTTATCTCGCTACTGTTTTCGCCTATGCAGTTTCCGGACTTTCACATTGTAGGATATAATCTGCCTCGCTAGCTACTTGCACTTCACTTCACTTTCCCTGCTATGAGTTATAGTCAGTAGAGTCACTTTCAGATAGTTGTACTTCGCACAATTGATCTTTTGTTCATTCAGAACGATTGTTTGGCCTGACCGCTGCCATTTCGCACCTCGCTATCTCTTAGTTTTTCCGATAGACTTTGTTTAGTCGAACTTTGCAAGTCTTATACTTCGACATACCTGCTGTACTTCTACCTCGGAACCTTCACTGTTCATTGGAAGCTCTTTGGACGCTTTGCGCAACCTCGGACCTTCGTTTCTTGACATCGGACCACCTTTGGACCACTTCGGATGAGTACTTTGGTACTTCGGATACATCCTCAGAACACCAAGTGCACTCTTGGTAACTTTCCCTTCTCTCACCTTCGACCTTAAACAAGATATCCCTTGCATTATATCAAGGAGCACTTCTATAGGCAGTCTCTTTGGGACAAGCATTACACTCGCACATTGAGTTCTGAAGGTAACACTTTGTAGAGCCTACACAGAATCAACTCTTTACAATGCCATATGGCAGACACTGTTGTAAAGAGTTGATTCTGTGTGGGCTCTACAAAGTGTTACCTTTAGAACTCAATGTGCGAGTGATATGCTCGTCCCAAAGAGACTGCCTATAGAAATACTCCTTGTTATAATGCAAGGGATATCTTGTTAAGATCAAGGATGAAAGAAGGGAGAGTTACCAAGAGTACGCTTGATGTTCTGGAGATGTGTCCAAAGTACCAAAGTACTCGTCCAGAGTGGTCTGAAGGTGGCCTGATGTCAAGAAATGAAGGTCTGAGGTTACGTGAAGCGTCCAAAGAGCTTCTGGTGAACAGCGAAGGTTCCGAAAGAAGTACGGCGGGTGTGTCGAAGTATAAGACTTGCAAAGTATAACTAGGCAAAGTCTATTGAAAGAACTTAGAGACAGAAAAGTGTGAAATGGCAGTGGTCAGGCCAAACAATCATTCCGAATGAACAAGGATCGATTGCGCGAAGTACAACTATTGTTACGACAAATGGTCGTGTGCGACTAGGATGATCTAAACAGCGACAACCACGACAGTGGTACCGAGTGCTGAGAGTCGTCGGCCTTTACAGACAAGCAAAGGTTGTGTACTCGAACGTAGCTCGTGGTGGTTAACGAGGGGTTACGCTGAGATGATAGCAGGGTTTACAGACAGTGAGAGGCGTCACTGAAGGTACGAGTCGATGTCGAGCAGGTAGCTTTAGCGGGACAAGGAGTTCAAGGGTAAACCTAGTAAGATTAAAGTAAGGAACATCTACTTTAATCTTCGACCTTATATAAGGCTACTCTTCGTATCTAAGCTCAGCCTAAAGCTGGGTTCTAATCTGCTTATCTACATGAGTCAGAGATAGCGTCCATGAGGCGGGCTTCTATCGTAGATAGCGTCCATGCGGTACGCTTCCATCATAGATAGGATCCACGTGGTATCCTTCTATCAGTACATGAGGCAACACGAGGCTTGCCTTCTATCTTGATATCATAAATAGGTCTTCTAGACCTATGTCGTCATGTGTCGTCATATGCGGTCCAGACCGCTTATCTAAGCCGGCAGTTGCCGCTTATCGTCTATCATCGTCTATCGTCATAGAGCTGGTGAGACTCCGGTATCGTCTATAGCCGTGCGGTGGCAGAGGGCTGTTCTGCTGGCGGGGGACTCGTGCCATGTTACTGTAACAACTATCCGAAAGTGACTCTACTAACTATGACTCGTAGCAGGGAAAGTGAAGTAAAGTGCAAGTAGCTAGCAAGGCAGATTATATCCTACAGCGTGAAAGTCCAGAAACTGCGTAGGCGAAAACAGTAGTGAGATAAGCCATCCAAAATGTAATAAGACTCGAGGCGAGCCGCTACAGAGATGTGCATGTAATCACGCACGAGGTGTGCAGTTATATGTATTAATCAAGCTTTCCAACGGGCCAATGACATATGTGCCCCTAAGACACAATTAATAACAGATAAACAAGTGGAAAACGCACCAGCGAAGTCAAACGGACATGGACGGGACATGGTACGGAGGATCAGAACTGTATACAGGCCTCAGGAATGGACGGACGACTCAGATGAATGCACGAAACTCTCAGAAGATAAATGGAGTGTTGAGGAATGTGTGTAGGATACCTAAGAGTTTGGCAGGATACGAGCCCAATGCCGATCCAAGTGCTACACTGTTTCTCGTGTCTCGATGGTACAGATTCAGTTCTGACTCGCAGTCTGAGTCTTTTTTTGATGCAGCAATGTTAAGAAAATATAAGGTATGTACTTCCTACAGGTTGTTCATTTTCAGTCCCCTTTCTTGTGTTCAAACAGTGTTAGTAATAGCTGGACTGTCTAGATTTGTTTAACAGCGACAAAACTCATCTTCTGTGCCTCCCGAGTCTGCAAGACACCAAGATGTGACGGTCCATTGTAGGACTTGGAGTCCTTGTGGCCTCATAGAGGTCTATTTTCTGATGCATGTTGAATGCTAATCATTACCCTAATCATTCCCTATCATATCTGACTCAATACGCACCAAACCTGAAAACATCGGACATCAGGCATCAGGCATCGGGCATCAGACATTGGGTTTTGCATTGGGTTTTGCATTGGCTGATCGGATATCGCGTGCACTTGTCCTACCTATGTCCAGTCTCATTGCGCTAGCCCCACTAGGTGTGTAGTTACTTGTTTTCACATCCCTAACATGTTATTACATGTATTCCCATAGTCCGCAGTACATCATGTCTTATTACATAAGACATCAGATCCAAAATATTGCGCTACTACTTTCGCCTATGAGGTTCCGGATTTCTATGTATCTACATAAATATTGGACTCCCCATAGCATCATCATCATCTGAGTAGAGGAGAATCATCTCCGATGCTTGGGGGTCAAACCCGATATTTCGTAGTTCTTAGTTGACATTGCGAATATCATCGTTCCTTCACTGTCCATATCTGTCATCGTTATTATTGCGCACATCACTCGCTTTCCCGATGCTTGCTATCACATCACTATTAGTTTCCGATACACCAAACCTGAACCTGAAAACCTGAAAACATCAGACCCAATGCTTTTTGCATCGGACATCATAATTATACCTTTGGACATTGTTTCCTGTGCTTGGATTATTGACCTCACATCACTCACTGACCCCCAAAACTATTCCTAGACCGCAGACCCCTGGGTCAAATGCACTTGTCCCGGAAGTATAGCAGATAGGCAGTGCAAGACCACAACATAAAGATATCAGTTTGGAGCCATCTTTGTATAGCCCCACTCTGTGTTGTATACCTACACTGTGCTTACATTGACCTCTCCGACTCCAGAGTCACTCAAAATTTCGGTTCAATAGTTGTTATGGATACTAACTGCCTGATGTACATATCTCAAAGTTCACTCAGCAAACTTAAGCTTCTTACCAGCATCCTTTCCAGTGTCCTTTCCTCCATCATCCTCAGACTCACTGGCATTGCTGGTGTACAGGTCTTCTATCTCCTGCACTTCAATCTCTGCTTTAGCATGGTCTATCACAGAGGCACGCATGGCCCTGATGACCTTCTTCAACCATCTGAAGTTGCTGACATGTTTGTAGATGTCTTGGACCATTGCTACCTGAAACCCTGAATGATGTAGAGATACAACAATTGCTGTACACTACACGAAGTAAGTAACCAGCAATATAAAAATGTGTTGTAGTTGCACACAGCCTAGTCTGCTATACTTGCAAGACAAGTGTGTTCGACCCGAGGAGTTAGCTGTTTGGTATTAGAATAATCAGTTATATGAAAACGAAGATAGTCCGAAGCACGGAAAACAAAGTCCGAAGGTATAATTATGAGTCCAATGTCAAAAACGTCGGGTCCGATGTTTTCAGGTTTCAGGTTAGTGGATTTCATCAGGTTTGTGTTGGGAATATAGTGAATGTCGGGGATAGTGAATGTCAAATGTTTCGGAGTGTTTCAGATAAAGAATGGATGATATTGCAGAATTCAGCTAAGAACTACTAAATATCGGATGACCTCCTCCTACTCAGAGGTAGAAAGGTAAGTAAATAGGTAGGAGGCATGCGAAATATATAGTATCTATGTAGAATTTTGGAATGCTATAGGTGAAAGTAGTAGCGCTGATTTTCGGGTCCGATGTCCTATGTAATAAGACATGATGTACTGCGGACATGTAATAACACATTCTACAGTGTTAGCGACGTGAAAACAGATAACTGTGCACCCAGTGGGGATAGATATGACAGGACAGGACATAGGGAGGACAAGTGCACGGGAAAATATTGGGTCCGATGTGTGGGAAATGTCGGGTCCATCAGACTAGTGTTGGGTTCGTCAGCCTAGCATCAGGTTTAGCGGATAAACATCGGATTGAGCGGGTGAGTGTCGGATAACATTGGGAAGTGATTCAAGTGCGATGGGTGTTTGACATGCATTGGGAATTAGCTGAATATGAGCCTAGCGTGAGCTTGAGTGCTACAATGAGTTGCAAGGCAGTTGACTTGTTCATCAAATTAGAACCACACAAACTGCTCAATATCCTCGGTGTGAATATGTGAGTCCAGATAAACTCTGACAGATGCAGCATCTGAACCCTTCCCAGTGAACAATTGGATGTCTGTCTCAGTGCTTTCAGATTTGATAGTTGTAGGTTGCCCCCCAGTTGTAGATTTCGATGGAGGGACTTGGTGGAGATGCAGAGCCATTTAAGTAGTTTTGAACTATGTAGTATGAGTAGTACCAGTTGTTAGTTTTGAGCCTTTAATTGAGCATGTTCATCCCACCGATCACGCTTGATATGAAAGAATTGATTTTGATGGTGACTTGGCATGGCAGTTTACACAAATATATATTGGAATGTTTGGGTAGTAGAGTGAACTCAAGTTTGGACACTAGTGTGGTGAAGTAGTGAAGCACAAAGAGTGTCCAATGGACCCTAATTGCACAAACTTTCATTGTTCCCTTACTATTACAAGTACTAGTTTACATTCACTATCTTCCAACAAACAGAGCCTTGGGGACTCGACAGAATCATGTCTGTCTATGAACCGGATGTGATGCGCAAACTGCTGTCAATGCTGGAGCCGAAAGACATGCAGAAAAAATTTGAGGCAAACTGGAAAGACATGGAAATCATGCCGAATGACATGACACGGGATGGATTTCTTTAGCCCAAATCCACTTCGGGCATTCTCAGATCCTTATGATGTAAAAGAGTACAATGTGAGGCCAATCTCACATGACATGGTCACCGAGGTCTGCCAGGAGTTTGTGTCGGGAACGCAGGAAAGGGAGTCAGAGGAATATCTTTGCACTCTGTCTGGTGAGGAATTGCTCTGCTATCAGTACTTAACACTCACCTTGTATGCTGAGCAGGCATAAGCATTTCATTTAACAACATTCTGTGCTGCTACAAAGGCAACCATAACCAACCAAGAGAAACAGAAGTTGAATGTCCTGAAGGGAGGGATTATAAGTCTGATGAACGAGAATAATGAGATTGTGGGCTGGGTAAGTCCATCTTTCACAAACTGAATGAGACAGTGCCTAAATTGATACGGCTAATTACTACATTAGTGCTTCTGCCATGGCCAGTCAAATGCTGAAATAAGTGAGCTTCTTGAAGGCCTCAAGATATGATGCGAGGCTCTTGACGTCCCTCCACCTGAAGTGTTTGTTGCTGACAACTGCTGTCATGTTCACAGTGCTGTGAATGTCATTTTCCCTGATGCTACAATGAAACTGGATGTCTGGCATTTCATTATGAGGCGGGTACATTTTCCTTTACATCTAATAATCTACAAGCTAATTCTAAGAGCAAGATACGCAACTGTTATCCTTAATTCCTTCAAGAATCCCCATCGAAAAGAGGTAGTTGCAGAGATCTCGGCCTGTATCCTGAAGAAACATGCTGAGGGCGGGAATCCCGCTGTGGGTACAACAATTCTGATGGTGATTCAGAACAATGTGTTGGGTCTTGCAGAACCTAGCTGCTATTCAACCCTAAAGGGTTTCTGGACCAGGCTCAAGGCTCAGAGGAGAGGAAATATGATAGAAACTTGCTGAGTACTCAAACTCATACTGGTAACTGGTGAAAAGGTAACTTTCTTATGTAAGCTACAAAAGTGCAAACATAACACTAAGGTAAGAACAGTCTCTACAAGCCTAGCCAGGAATCAGTTCCTACATCTCATACAAACTTTAAATCATGACTGTCCCCAGTCATCTACCCATGCAAACCAAAACTAAGCTAAACTGAGAAAACTAACCTGGGGGCCCTCAAACACCTGTTTTACCTGACATCTCTTGTGCCAGGCGAACCGCATCAGTGAGTGAGGGTCAGGCAGATGGATAAAATGATGACCCCAGCACCTGTTTTCCCTGACATCTCTTGTGCCAGGTGAACCGCATCAGTACTAGGGGAATGGTAGACGATAAAAACGATGAAATGCGAAGTAGTGGTTGTGCGGATGACGGCGGGGAGTGGACGGATCGAAAGAGGCAAACGAGGGCTTCGAAATGAGTATAGGGTTGCCTAGGTTTGGTCAAGAACTGAGGGAGAAATGAGGAAAATGGTGGAAAAGGGAGGAAAACACAAGAAGGGCGGATTGCGGTGGAACACGCGGTCGTATCTGAAAACTGATCAGACGGATGGAAAGCGGAGGTAAATGCGGTCAGAACGAGTATTGGGCTGATAGGTGTGCAATGAAGGGGTGAGAAGATATAGATAAAATGGTGTAAATGGGCGGTAAAATAGAGGGGCGGCGGAAAACGCGAATGGTGGGCGAACGGCGAAGCGGAGCGGGGTGCCGATGGGCGCGAATGAAAGCCATGAACAAGGGCTTTAAAACGAGTATAGGGTCGAGGGGTTTTAATGCGAAATGGGCTGGTGAAAGTGCGACAAAGTGCGGAGGTGCAAGAGGGAGGAGGAGGAAGGGGTATGGTGCAGGGCAACAAGGGCTGGTCCTATCAAGAAGCGAATTGGGGTGATGGACAGAGCCACTGAATGATGGTAAATGGTTAAAAGAGCTAAATGAGACAGGCCTTTGAGCACCCAGAAAACCCTTATCTCCCCTCAACTTCTCAAAAACACCAAAAACTCGATATCTCCAGCGCAGCAACTCTTAAGTGAGTCAGGAGACAAGTAAGACGACATTCGTATATAAGAGTATGAGGACTGGGGCTCGTGTTGGCTCTGGCGCTTAGTGTCAGTCAGCGGATACGACAGAGATTTAGACTTAGAGTCCAATGTTTGTGCAGGAAGAAGATCCTCATCATTATACAAAAGGCAAGGTATATATATTCTAAGTAGTGTTTAAGCGCTGTCAAGCGCTAAAGCAAGCTGGAAAGCAAAGCGAGTACATGATGATATGTAATAAGGGTCCATGACGAAACATACAGAATATGTGCGCAAGTGCCGGAGATATGTCAGAATACATGAGAACAAGATAGGAATACGCACCGATGAACCGAACGGACATGGAATGGATGGATGGAGGACGAGCGACGGAACCAAAGGTGCATGCGCCAATGCGCGACCGAAACACCTGTGCGTGCGAGTGGCTGATGAAGCACCAAATGCACAGAAATGAGATACGGGTCGCACTGCATTCAGGAGGTGATTAGGACATTGGAGAATTAGACCTCTACGAGGCCACAGAGATGTTAGTCTCTACATCTCATAGGAACTTAGCTTCTGACTGTCCCCAGTCAGTGTACATAGGGGTGGATGGACTTAGTGAAATTTCGATGAGGAAAGTCATGTGATCGTGGGCAAAACGTGCCAAATCAGATGTGGAGCAGATCCACTGTGGTCGTGTGAATTGTGGTGAGCAGGCGGAATTGTGCTGACATAATGTGGTTCATTTCCGACATAAAAGCCGGCCACATGTCGCGCTTCTCTTCTTCAATTCAATACTCCATCGCAGCTTCGCGATTATCTTTGCTTCCATCTATCATCATGTCTTCCATCATCTTTAACCCTGCTATGTTGACAGTGTCTCCCTCCCCCTCCCCCAAACCTGAGGAGCGCCCACTAGAGGGTGGCAACGTGTCCATCGACGACACCACTCTCGATGATGCGGCTCCAAAGGAGCCTGAGGAATCCGAGTCTGACTGGGTTGAACGTGCTTGGGCCGCCATGCTTAACACTATGCGCATGTGCGTTGAGACTGCTCCTCCCTCCAAGCCAGAGCTATTGGAGGAACAGGAGTCTTGGCTTCACGACTGGAATGTCGCAATGGTGAGTGGCACATTTTACTTTGTGCTTACTTTATCGCTAACGGCTCCCTTTTAGGCTGATATGACCGTTGTCTACGAGTGGGCGCGTGCGGCTTCGCTGCATGTGTCCCTTAACGACACAGAGAATGTTACATTGGCCGAGGGCAAAATTGCTGCGAGGACGCTGACAAGAGCCATGAAGGCTTGGAAGGAGAAGGCGGAAGAGTCTGCCATGACTGCATGCCCAGCATGCGCTGAGAAGGGGAAGGGGAAGGAGGTCATTGCCAGCGAGAAGATAGTGGAGAAGGCGACAGAGAAGTCAGGTGAGAAGGTGCCCGAACCTGTCCTTACCAATATGGGATGTCCAGTGGGTTTTTCTTTCCTTCACTTGGTTTTTCAGGTTCGCTTACATGTCTTTCTAGCGTTTGGGTGGGCATATGACTGCTACTTCTGTCAGCCGTCCTGCTGAGAGGTGCGAGCATTGTGCCACGTCCAGCACTAAGTGCGTCGTTGTGCAGCCGAGCGGGAGATGCGAGGGCTGCACTAAAGCATGAAAGGGCTGTTCGTTTGGTGAGCTCGCACTTATTACTTCCTCTTCGTTTTACTAATGCTTAATTGATTTAGTTGCCGCTAAGAACAAGGGACGCGCGCCGGCTGTGCCGAAGTGCAAGGCGCCTCCCTCCACGCAAACGACTGCGCCGGACACCGGCAAGTCCGAGGTGGAAATTGTGGGCGAGGCTACAGCCAATGAACCCATTGCCGGTACCTCAAAGGAGACCATTGTTGTCCAGCGGCCAAAGCAACCGCTTGCCTCTGCTGCTGAACCTGTGGTGAAGCGTCCTCGTTTGGACGCCAATACTGAGTTGGACGAGGCATGCGCTGAGTCCGCTCAACTTCGTGCTGAGAACGCCGAGCTCCATACTCGGAACGACAAGTATCAGGTCGCTCTGACCGAGATGTGTCAACACTCCTGGACGCAAGAGTCTGAGTTGCTTCACATGAGCAACTGGCTGTATCTTTTGGCGCGCGACTGGGGAACTTGGGAGAAGGAGCTTTGCGAGGTCCTAGAGGAGTAGATAGTCTGTTTAGGATACTTTTAGATTTAGAATCGCCTATTGGCGCCAAAGAGCACCTTGTACTATAGTGTCTCTGGTTTCTCCAGCACCCGGTGCACCTAATACGATAGTACTTTGCGTCCTGTCCGATGTCCGTGTCCATTCCCAATTACATTGTCTGATTCGATTCGCCAGCCTGATTAAGGAAGAGGAATACGCGAGTGAGTGCATGTAAGAATATAGAGTTATAAGGAAAATACGGCGATCACGCAAACTGCGCGCTTGTCCTGTCTTCTTCGGGTGTCTTTTCGCGTCTATTCCTTCACATGTCCCTGTGTGTCGCTGATATTAGATGTCGGTGTATAATCTATGAGTAAGAATGGGCGTGGCGCGGCTGCGAGCATTAGAAATGGGAGGTCTATGGGGTAGTCATGCGCGCACTTCTAGGTAACTTATCTTCAGTATGTATTTGACGGTTTATTATCGCCCGATCGGCGGTTATAGAATAGAGTCTGTTGGATGTATGTTCAATGCAATGTGTGTGTTATGAGACATGATAAAAGGAAACTGAGGTTGCCGGTTGAAACCCAGGGTAAAACAGAGAGAATGGAAATTGACGGTATGTTTTTGTGATTGTTTTGTTGTTATATATTGTTTTTGTTTTTGTGTGCGATGCGGAAAGTGGGAATATGCGGTTAGAATGTCAGGTGATATGCGGGAAATGGTTGCACGCTACGTGTCGGGCGCGCGCTCTGGTTCATCTTCATCGGGTTCTTCAATATCTTCGTCGGCTAAATGATCAAGAGTCTCATCGTCTTTACCAGTGACACTTGTCACCATAATGCGCTCATCGCTGCGCGGATGATAAGGAATGACGCAGAAAGCTGTGTAGCGCAATTTAGAGATAGCGCTGTCCAACTCGGCCAGCAGATATGAGCCTCCTTTTGTGTGGCGCACTACAATCATAGGTCCCAAGTATCGCGGCTTCGTCTTCTTGCTTAACTCATATTCAACCTTCGAATTGCGCACCAGTACTAAGGTACCGAGTGCATGGTTGTAATCGCAGATCGTCGCGCGAAAGCGCTTCTTGAAATCATGGATAGACATGTAGCGCGCTTTCATTACCTTGTCCCTGATAGTGCTGAGATCCACTATGCGCTTCTGTAACTGCCGTGCGCGCCAAGCAATGAGTTCTGCGGTGGTAAATGGCGCGTGCGCTGGCGTTGGCGCTAAGAACGTAGCTTCTGCAAGGTCAAAGGGGAAGATTGGCTCAATGCCGTGCACCATAAAATATGGCGATAAGCCTGTTGACTTGTGCACGATGACGCACTTGGCCCAAAATATGGAATGAACAACTTGATACCAATGAGTATCATCTCCATTGCAAGTTTTAATGATGGCCTCCCGGACATCATGGTGCCAGCGCTCTACTATACCATTCGCTTGCGAGTTATAGGGCGATATGCGGATCGGATGGATATTGTATCTTTCTGCAAGCATGTCCACGGCGAGTCTATAAGCGGGCGCGTTGTCAGTAATGATCTCGGTGATAGGACCCCATCTGCATAGTAGCTCTTCGTATATGAAGGCCATGAGCGACTTGGTATTCTCCTTGCACAACATGCGCCATTCGGGATATGACATGAGTGCGCAGCGCACCTGTACTAGATACTCGTATCCGCCTGCTTTGGGCATCTTCATGGTATCGATGTGTACTCTGCGAAACAAACCTCCAGGCGTTGGTACCATTGGCGGTACTTGGAGCTTCAGCGTCTGCCTGATTTGACATTCATGGCATGTGCACGTGTACCACTTGATATCGTCGTCAATGTGTGGCCACCAAAAATGCAGCAGCAGCAGCATGCGAATGGCATATACGCCCTTATGACCTAGATCATTGTGCGCTTGTTTCAGCAATTGATATTGCTTATGCGGTTTCACCATGGGCTGGTGTTTACCGTTCGCTTTGCGGCGCCAAAGGTTGCCTTCAAGGACAAAGAAGCGTGCCGTGTGATTGATGAATGTGGCGAATGTATCATCTGTAATGTCAGCGGGTCTTTTGCGGTTGAGAAGGAATTGCTCTATTACGGTCATACACTCGTCTATTGCTTGCGCTTTCTCGGAGCGCGGGACTTGCGGATCATCTGGTATCGGTTCTGCAACATCAAGAAAAGTGCATAAGACTGGTAAGCGCCTCAGTGGCTGCGTGAACAGCACTAAGTGCATGGAAAGAGCATATTTGGCGCCGGCTGCCTCTACTTGGAGCATCCTTTCATTTAGGATCACAACTCCAAATGAGTATGCGCGGTCAATCCAATCCTCGTAATCATCGGCTTCCTCTGGATCCTCATCTATGTGTGGTCTCCTTGAGAGACCATCGACGCCTGCATGTTTTGCGGCGGGTACGTGAACAAGATTGAATTGAAATAGAAGAATATCTGCGATCCATCGATTGATGGTCGCATTGGGTTGCAAATTGGGATTATTGATCATACCTTTGATATATTGTGCGTCCACTTCGACCATCAAATTGACGACACCGAATATGTAGACACGCACGGCGCATAGTGCGTGATACAAGCCGTAGAGTTCAAGTTTCGCTTGTGAGTAGTGGCTCTCCACTTCATTGAGCGCGATTGATCCGAAGCGATTGGGGTAGCGCTTGCCATCTTTGCCTACTTGCAGCAGGATATATCCGATCGCGACACACGATGTGTCTACTGCTAGGATGACTTCGCGGCCGCTTTCATAGTCTATCTGCTGAAGCACGGGGGAATCTAGTACTGAGTCCTTGAGTGTTTGCATCACTTGACGCTGCTCTTCACCAAACTCAAATGGAACATCTTTCTTGGTCAAATTAATTAGCAGGCGCGCGATGCGCAAGAAGTTACGAATGAAAATGCATAGAACACCGCATGTGCCTAGGAACCCGCGCATGTGCGACTGGTTCTTCAGCTCAGGCCAATCCCTAATCTTTTGTACCTTAGATTCGTCAGGCACGCGCCCTTCAAAAGTACACTTGTGACCGACGATGGTCGTGGATGGTGCGGCTAGCACGAACTTGGTTGCGGATATTGTTGCACCTACATTTTCTAAGTGCTGCAAGATGCGATTGACGACAATGCAGTGTTCCCATATAAAGTGCCGTATGCCCAGATTATCGGGTATGGTCTCATAAGAGCCATCCTCATTCTGGTATCGGGTTTTTACCGATTTGATCGGCACATCGTCTATGAACGGCAATGTGAATTCGGGGATTTCATGCTGTAATATGAATGCGGTGTCACCTTGGTAAACCTGTACAGCATTAGCGTGTCCTTGCGGAAGTGTTGTTAAATGATGTGGCCCTAGGGGCATTCCAAACGTAGTCATATTGCGTGAATCAACGTGAAGTGCACACTGATCATAACCAGTATACAAATCCAACATAGCATACACTGCGTATCCGGCGAACATTTCTGCTAAAAAGTCGGGAAAGGGTGGAACCGACGCGTCGCGAATAGTGACTTTGTTGAGCGGTGTAGGTCGTGGACTAAGCGCAAGGAATGGCCATCCTTCTTGATGACACAGAACCAGCATGAACAATAGGCGGCTGTCGATGGTTCATATATGCTGGATGAAATCTTTTCCTTGATAATGCAAATGACTTCGCCGGTGATTGTGGGTGGGATCGGAATATTGCGCTGCGGCCATGGGGTGTGCAGTACTGTCAGGATTTTGTACAGCAGAAAATATGTTTTGTTGAGGCAGCCCCATTCTGAGGCACCCCAGGCGAACACGAGTTTGTGAACCCTAACGAGCCAGTGTACTAGCTTGAGCTCTTCAGGCCATAGCCAATTGGCTGGATCTAAATCTAACTTTTCAGCGTGCTCGTGTGTGAAGCAGGTTCCTGGTTCAAATTCTGGGGGGTGAGTCAGTAAGTCTGGTAACCCGGCGAGCGGGTCTTTGGGTAGCTGGCGCACTATCCTATACTCTGGCGGCATAGTGGTAGGCACTGTGCGCACTTTCTTTGCAACTGGTTCATACATCAGCGTGTGAAGCGCATGATCATAATAATAATAAAAATTAAAGGTGTTTATAGATGCCTGATCAATAATGGAACGGGTTGACGATAAATGCGCATAATGCGCCGATGGTTGTGATGCGATATGAGAACGGGAGAAACAGTACTTTGCGCGAATGCGGAAAACAATGCAGGGATGCTCCTTAAGAGCGATAATTGGGTGCTTGAGGCGCGCACGCTTTGCAGCGCTTCAGGAAACATGCGAGAATGATTGAGACTAGACGAAGGAAAATACCGGTATTGGAGTGTATGTGGGGTTGGGGGAATATATATAGCGGTGCGGTTCCAAATTGAGTTTGGCGCAATAAGGGATTCCTTTTCTTCTTTCTTAATAGTTGGCACTTCGATTGATAAGGGCGCGCGTGACCGCGATAAGGGTTCTTCTTTGATGGTTGCGCTAGAAACGGTTAGTGGAGTAAGTGGAGAGAGGGGAATAAAATTAGGATCTGATGGATTCCTTGACGTTTCTACAAAGGCGCCCAGTGGTAAGTTGCGGGGGTTGTCGTGTGACTCAAAGTCGTCTGAGGATTCACCATGTACTGATTCTTTAGGGGACGGCGTGACTGGTGATGCGGGCGCGAATGGGTTCGGCGAAAATAGAGATAGATCTGGGCGCACGGGCTCCGAGAAGTTCCAAGGGCAATTGCGCTTAACTGGAGTCAAAATTTCCTGAATGGTTGATAAACCTGAAGAGGCAACCGCTCTTCTAAATTCTTCTAAGGCTTCGTTTCTTGCTACGTGGTCTTTGGTAGGCCTGAGTACCCTACCGGCTTTCTCAGATGATCCCCTCGCAGTGGGCTCCAGTTGTGGGTACAACAATTCTGATGGTGATTCAGAATAATGTGTTGGGTCTTGCAGAACCTAGCTGCTATTCAACCCTAAAGGGTTTCTGGACCAGGCTCAAGGCTCAGAGGAGAGGAAATATGATAGAAACTTGCTGAGTACTCAAACTCATACTGGTAACTGGTGAAAAGGTAACTTTCTTATGTAAGCTACAAAGTGCAAACATAACACTAAGGTAAGAACAGTCTCTACAAGCCTAGCCAGGAATCAGTTCCTACACCGCGAAGTACTGGGACCGAACTGAGCAGGAGATGAAACTTACCTCGACATTCGAGAAATGGGCTTGTGAAGGCATAGTTTGGTCAGCAGTTCATGAGGAACAGCTCAAACACATATGGAAAGGCTGCCTCAAACATCAGTGGCAGAACATACAAACAGATGGAAGCCATGTGAAGGGGTCTCACAAAGGCTGGAACTCACTCCAGTGTGTGCACACCAGCAGAATTGTGACCTTCACAGGCCTTTGCCACGACTTTGTTCTTCAACAAAACATTCACATTGCCTTTTCAAGAGTGAGCAAATCAGACTTCATCACATCAACTCACAGCTCTCATCATGTTCACCTCATCAACAGGATCATGAACCAATTCAACAACCTCCGACTCAAAGACAAGGCCACCAGCACATGTTGCCTGCCAGAGCTTGTTGAAACCCCATCTGAAGAGCATTTCAGGCTCATTGAATCAAGTTTTGTGTCCATGTTTTATGGGCTACTGGATGTCAAGGCCAAAGAGTCACCAGTGGAGCTTGATATGACTGGCCCCAAGTTGCTTGAGGCACTCAGCAGCGAAGGCGACACACTTGACCTCGCCCTGCAGTCTGCAAGGTCTGAAATACTTGAGGAACTTAACATTGACCCACAGCTTCTTTCCTAGCCTCAGGCACTCTTGGATGCACAGCTGTCACTGTTCTGCCCTACTGCAACCATCACAATCACCACAGCTGCAGCGGCAGAAGTTGCTGACACCAGCAAGGCCATGTCTCATTTGGCCGTCATCATGACAAACACTCAGCCACAACCAACAATGAAGCACAAGGCAGATGACATTGTCACCATCTCAGAAAATGAGTCTGAAGATTCTGGCCAACCCAGGGCAGCAGCATGCAAGCCACCCCACAAAATCATGTGGCATATGACCACTACCACTGGTGCTGATACTCCAGAGGTCACTACATTACTGTCAAATTAGGTAAGCCCACTCTTCCTCTTCTTCCCATTTTCCCTCTCCATCATACCTACCTCCCTCCTCTATGGACGACTCATCTTATGAAAAATTCACCACCTTGTATGAAAAACTTCACTTTCCTCCCATCTTCCTCCCCATCATACCTACCTCCCTCTTCTATGGACCGACTCATCTTACGAAAAATTCACCACCTTGTATGAAAAACTTCACTTTTCTCCCATTTTCCCTCCCATTATAACCTACCTCTGATCCACATTACAGGGGATTTCTCCAGTCACACTAGACCACTACCTCAAACCAAGAAGCCGGCTGCCACACTGCAAAGCTCTCTCACAACGGCCATCAGATGCCAGTGCCAGCACTCAGTGTCAACTTCCTGCAGTTATACCCAGCTCCACTCCCTCAAACTTAGTTTCAGTGATTAGTCCTGCTGGTACTGCTGCTTTCGCACCCATTCTGAGGTCCCCAGGGATGACCCGTTCTCAACACTTCTTCACCATTGCCACAAGAATTGATGCCTGCGCCATGCAAATCTCTGGCAATATTGAGTTCCACTTATTTATGGACATGAGAGCTGAGTTTGTGTGGATCTCATTCAAGATGATGCCCAAACAGTGGGCTGTAGCTACTGAGACTTACAATAACCATCTTGAGGAGAAGAATTATGCTAATGGGCTCGAAACGGTGAAGAAGAACCCCCAGGCCCTTCTCTGAAAGCTCGGCGACATTGAGGTGGTCATGATGAACTGTGTTGCAAAGAGTAACTTCAAATGTGAGTTCCACTGCTTCACCGGCATTTTTTCATGTGCTAACTACTTGCTTTATTCACAATACAGCTTGTTCTGGAGAAGGTACTGTCATGCTATTAAGCTCATCAAGGCTGAGCCTAGGAAGAAGGTGCACAAGTCTTTGTTGAACTTTTCGTGTTTGCTCACTCTCTATACTACTACCCTTGCTTCCAGATTCACAAGGCACACACGTGCTCCCACTGTAAGACCATCATGTACCCCAGTCCCGAGAACTCGGAGTACAATCATTGATGGGGCTTTTGTGCTGATGGCACCAAGCAGGTGTCCAAAAACGAGCCACCTCCATCCAGGCCACAGCCACCAGGTGTATTCTCCAAAGGCAAGCACTTCTATCCATGCGCCTTCCTCGAAACCGTCAAGCAAATCTACGAGAAAGTATTCCTATGGCCTTCTGGTGAAAGCCCTGCCCTCAAACAGGAGGCATTTGCAACAATGCTGCTGGACTGGTCAACAACACTCGAATCAGGGACAGTGTTGTTTAAGTTGTATGAGGAGCTGGAGATTAATGGAATGACACCGGATGTGCTACTCACTGTGCACAATGGTGTCAAGCACCTTCACATTGAGTATCTGCAGGAGCACTGGACCACATTGTAGTATTTTAAAAAAAATCTTCATTCCAATTCATGCTATTGACACTCGTCTCATCCTCATTTTTCTTAGCATTTTCACTACCCTCATGTCCACATTTTGTACATACATTAACTTCTCCTCACCTCTATCTGTCCCCGTCCTCCACTTCACGTCATTCTCTCCCTGTTCTACACGATAGCTAGCATTGTGTCTCCCTCCTCCGTTTTCTCAACCAAATGTCACATGACTTACGATTGGTCTTGCAAATGGTCCATCCCTTCACATGGTGAAGTTTCCCAAAATTCAATGGAAATTCAAATTCACATTCAATTATGTGACCTTACATCTACAGATCTAAACCTTGGGATCTGGCTTGATTTATTGAATGTGATAAACATATATATGCACTTTACTATCATTCGACAGGAAATGCACAATTTCCACTTATCACTGAATAACATCACTGTGCATTAGGCCCAACAATAATTATTTTATTTTATTGAGAGCTTGTTGCACTGGCAGCACTGGAAGTTGAGGTGTTGAAAACTCAATAGATATGCACAATTTTGTCACACTATGTCACATGTGGCACCTCAGCCAATACACAATAGTATTGAAAGTCTGACAGCACTCATAGTGAAGAGTCCACACCATTCAATAACACGACAGATGGCCCAAAATCAAATCTAATTGAGGGAATAATAGCGGGACTCAAAGTAAAATTCTAGACTTGCTAAAGCGCTCGGTACAAGATTGGCTAAACATTCTAACAAGATGGAGATGGCCAGCATTAGTATTGGAGCTTGAATACTAATGCCTGCCATTTGCCAATGTGTGTGCCGTTCTGCAAGACTGAAAGCAGACACTCAAACTCGCCCAAAGGTGATGGACTTGCCCCCCCCCCCCCCCCCCCCCCTCCATCCATCTGGATCCCATGGAAAAGGGCGATCTCGAGGACATGGGTCCAATCCCCTTCATAATCAGACTCCTAGGACTGCTGGACTGAAGATTATTATCCATTGGACGAGACCTGCAGATCTCCACTGCACAGACACCCTGGTGCAGCATCTTTCCACTCACCCTCCAGATGCCCACACACTATTCTATGAGGGGAAAAAATTGGCCCCTTCCAGCAATGAGAAGCATCCTTCTGGAAAGTACAAAGGGGAGATCCATCATATCTTAGTGAAACTGATCTTTGAGACCAACTCAGACTATTCAGCAGCATATGCTGAGGATCCAAAGAAGTTTGACATAGTGGTGGGCAATCACATCATTTCATAAGTGGTCTACTGCTCAGACTTGCAGCTACTAATTTAATTCTTAAAAGTCTTAAAAAGTCTTTCAAAGAGCAACTTGACAAATTCAACAAGACCGGTGCTGGTGTCACCCTGCTTGATGAAAATGCAGCCATTAATCTACATAGTGAGTGTTTTTTGTCACTGGTTTTTTTGCTTTAATCGATTTTAAGAACAAGTCTTACTTGAGTTCCTGTGATACGACCAACTCCACCCCTTTCTGTTCTCTAACCCAATGGTCAGCGCCAAAATATTCACCTCCCAGCTGGGAGTCGACCACACTACTGATTTCTATAATCTCATTCATCCATGTGAGGGGGCTAGTCCCTCTACGAACCAGGAACCTCAGCACCCTTCCACACACCCTCAGCACCCTCTCCCAAGCCCACATGATGCTGGCAATCAGTGCATTCCCCCATATGTCCCCCCTTCACAGCACCCCCCTCATTACACTGGCACTGAAGGCAATCTGATTGACGATCTGGATGGTGACCTCTATAATGACCCTCATGCTGATGAGGACGAGCTTGGCCCTTTCTCTGCCCCCCTCGGCAATGTGCTTGATACGTTGGATGGGGACATCAATATGTGCGATGATGACGATGACAGGGAGTTCAACTCCCATTATGATGTCATCATCCTCAATAGTCCCCCCAAAGTGGTGAGACATAAACAGCAGTACATGGCTTCTCCTTCTCCCCCTCCTGCCAATTCAAATTCTTTTATTCTCCCACAGAAGTCCCAGACACCTGCATACCATAGTCGCACGGTGTTTGGTTCTGCTTCACCTTGCAGCCAAGCACTAGGCAGACCATCCTCATTTGTTTCACCAGTGGGCATGTCGTGCAGCTGGTCCAGTCTCACATCCACAACATCCTCGTCACCCTACATATTGTCTGACTATCATGTATCACTGATGTCATCCTAGACATCACTTTCTGCAAAGCCACAGAGCTCCATGAGCTCAAAGAAGAAGAAGACCTCAACAACAGACATAGAGGACTACCTTGACATGCTCAACAACAAGATCTCAAACATCCAGAGCAACATGTCTAAGCGCCGAGGAATGAGAAATGAGTGCTATGCCATCAAAATACATTACCAATCCCAGAAGAAGGAATTCCAGTGGCACTGCAAGTCTCATTCGCAAGAAGTCTTCCTTTCAGCCACTGCACATCAACACAAGCAGGAGGCTAAGGACAAGGATATCCTCTGCCTTCAGGATGCAGCTGCCTTGCAGGAAAAGGAGGCTGAGACTTGGCACCTCAAGATCCAATATCAAAGCATGATGATGCATGCTGCAGATAAAGATGTTGATCCCTCGTCATTGTCGCCATCAGTTTAAATGCGTGTTGTCATTGTCACATTTTTTTGTCTTTGTTGTCACTTGATTTTGCTACATACATTTTACATACATTTCTTGAGTCTCTTGAATACCTAGTAATAAACACTAGGATACAGTGATCATTATTTGCTAAACCTCTACTTAATGGTGCAAGAAGGCCATACAGGGGATAAGCCACTGACATATATCTGCCAGTGGATGGTCCAGCCTGTAACTGTGGTGGGAGGTCTGGTGAAGTTCGAAGAGGACGAGCCTCTGAAAAGCTTGGCACTGGCTGCAAAAATCATGGCTCACTACCTGGATAATGGAGTGGGTATGCAGGTGGCAAATTAAATGAGGGGAAAGGTGACAGCCTGTTTATTTGCTGTGTCACCTGACTTGAGGAGGGACCTGGAGTGCTGATATGCGCACCTATTCAGACATTATCAGCAATGAAATGAATATTAAATTAAGACAAATACAACCATAACAATTAATGCTTAGAATGATGTAGTGAAACAACAATGGCTAAGCACAACACACAGTAAGCACTCAGCCAAATATAATAGTTGTGGTCTTGCACAGCCTAGTCTGCTATACTTGTGAGACAAGTGTGTTTGACCCAAGGAGCTTGCTGTTTGGTATTAGAATAATTAGTTATATGAAAAGGAAGATAGTCCAGGTGCGGGAAACAAAGTCCAAAGGTATAATTATGAGTTTGATGTTTTTGGGTGTTCGGGTTAGCAGGTTTCCTCAGATTGCATCAAGTTAGCATCAGGAATGTAGCAAATGTCAGGGATAGTGAATGTCTGATTACTGTCAGATGTTTCAGAGTGTTTTGGATAAAGAAAGGATGATATTTGTGGAATTCAGCTAATAACTACTAAATATTGGATGACCTCCTTCTACTTGGAAGTAGAAAGGTAAGTAATAGGTAGGAGGTATGCGAAATATATAGTATCTATGTAGAATTTTGGAGTGCTATAGGTGAAAGTAGTAGTGATAATTTTCAGGTCCAATGTCCTATGTAATGAGATATGTAGTACTGTGGACATGTAATAACACTGTCTACAATGTTAGCGATGTGAAAATGAATAACTGTGCACCTAGTGGGGATAGACATGACATAGGGAGGACATTTTTGTCGGGTTAGCATTAGATTAGCATCGGGTTAGTGGATAAGTGTCGGATAACATTGGGAAGTGATTCATGTACAACATGTGTTTGACATACATTGGAAAATAGCAGAATACAAGCCTAGCGTGAGCTCGAGTGCTACAACAAGTGGCTGAGACTGCATAGCTTGAATATCCATTGTTGACGAGTCAGGATAGCTGTCTGAGTTGTTGAGCGCTCAATTGCCCTGAGATAAGTAAAGATCAGAAAGTTGGCAGTCCTGGCATAGGTCTAGGGTATTCTCCAAGTGTTTTTTTGATGTGTTCCAAAACCTCAGGCTTTGTGCTTATGATTGACAGTGAAAGAGCAGTAGCAATATCCTCCAGTTTTAATTTTGACTTGCCACTTAGCTATCCTGTGTAAATCTCTGTGTTGTCCATTACATTGCGCTGTGCTTGTTATGCAGCCTCTGCTTTTTGTTTCTTCTCTACTCATTTCACATCTTTCTCTGCTGTTTTTTGATGTACCTGTTCACTGGTCATCAGCCCATGCATCTGCAGACCCTTTCCCTGTCTATTTTGCCTATCTTCCTAGGCATTCAGTCACTGCTTGAAAGTATTGTAGTCTCATCTCACCATTACTGCATGACCAACAGCAGTATCATGTTACCATTTCATCTCCTCACTTTCCACCTTCATCTTCTCACTATCTGCCTTCATCTTCTCATTTTCGGCATGCAAGCACTCAATTTCCTGTTCATAGCATTCCATTCATGTTGAATAACCACTAGACTGGGAGCAATTTGAGGAGAAGATGATGCTGAATGAGGTTGTAGAATATAAGCCTGAGAGGGACTTTATAATCGGTCTAGTTCACAGATGCATCGAATGGAGACTGCTGCTTCTATTGGTATTTACAGGTGTAGGGGGTTGAAAATCACTTTTTTGCAAATTGAAACCTAGATGTGCAGTTAAGTACTAAGATAACAGTGATGTTCTGATTTACTCATTTTGCTCCTCTGTAATGAATGTCTATGCTATTGATAACTTACTTTTCAGGATAATCTGCAGAATAAGTAAATATTCGGAGATAAAACCTATATATGATGCTGTTACAATAGAGAACCACAATGCCATGTTCATAGGCCTGTAAGAACTCAGGATTAAGTAAAATTTTCCATTGAGCTTGAAAAAGTTTGTGATGGTAATGGGTTGCACATTCCCAGCTGACTCCCTTGACTTGAGTGTAAGTATCCATGAAGTCTTTGAATGAGTTAGGAAGCTGCCAGGCATCAGTCTCAATGCATGAGAGAATACTTGTTTGAGAACATACCTTTTAAAAGTACACTATGTGATTACCCAAATTGCAGGACAGTTTGCACTGACAGTATTTTGATTTGTTCCCAAAGTACATATAAACCAGCCATAGTTTTGTGTTATCAAAACTCATCAGGTGTGTAATGTCTGACCAAACCATTAATGCAACAATTAACAGGGAAAATTACATCCTGGTTCTCTAAGGGGACTCCTGAAGATTGCAGTGTGCATCCATGAAGGCTGGGGAAGAGTACAACTTGCCTTAAATGTTAACTTCACATTGAAGGTGGGGGGCACTCTATTGCAGTTGGTAAGGCTTGTAAGATAATATTGGTGCTGCAGCCATCCTATTTTGAGCAGGTGAATGTTCCTGCACCTTGAAGTACCACCTAGGGACAGAAAAGCAACACACTGTCTTTGAAGTAAAAGAAGTCAGTTTAATTCTAGTAGCTCACTTACTTGCCACAGAAATAGACCCGCCCTTTCTAGCATTCATATCAATAGGACATTGGACCTGAAAATCAGTGCTACTACTTTCGCCTATAGCACTCCGAAATTCTACATAGACACTATATATTTCGCATACCTCCTACCTATTACTTTACCTTTCTACCTCTGAGTAGGAGGAGGTCATCTGATATTTAGTAGTTCTTAGCTGAATTCCACAATATCATCCATTCTTTATCCAAAACATTTTGAAACACCTGCCATTCGCTATCCCTGACATTTGCTATATTCCTGACACAAACCTGACGCTAACCCGATGCAAACCTGATGAAACCCACTAACCTGAAACTCAAAAATATCAGACCTGACATTTTTTGACATTGGACTCGTAATTATACCTTTGGACTTTGTTTCCTGCACTTCGGACTATCTTCGTTTTCATATAACTGATTATTCTAATACCATACAGCAAACCCCTTGGGTCAAATGCACTTGTCTTGCAAGTATAGCAGACTAGGCTGTGCTAGACCACAACATTTTATATTGCTAAACACTTACTTCATGTAGTGTTCAGCAATTGTTGTATCTCTACACCGTTGACCATGGTAGGATACTGAAAATTGGTCATTTTACTGTTTTCACATCCTAGTAAGACAGTGCATTACAGTTCATCGGGTGATGGGTCTAATGTCTTATTTTACCGTTCATGGTGTAGAGCCAATCTTTCTGTTCAACCTTGTGGAAGGAACATTCCTAGTAGCACTACTCGGACGCATCCAGTTCACTACGACAGACCTCATTGCATGGCGCACCCGTCAACTTCAGAAGCGACAAGAAGACCTCAACGATATCAAGGAAAAAGTTCTAAAGGCTAGGTATAAGTCAATCCAAAATTTCGAGGAGCGGTTCCACGACTCAATCAAGGATTATGATTTCAAACTGGGTTCCTTAGTGTTAGTGCGCAACGCCAGGATCAAATACGAGCTGAATCGAAAGATGAAGCCACGGTATCTTGGACCCATGGTCGTCCTGCACTGCACAAAGGGTGGATCATATCTTTTAGTGGAAGTTGATGGATCCGTGTCTAAACTTCACTATGTGGCTTTCTGCTTAATCCCTTATTTTCTGCACAGTGAGGCTAAACTATCGGTTACAAGTATCACAGGTCTAGAAGATGAAGCACTAAACAATCTAGCAGCAGAAGACGTAGAGGAACCTGACGATGAAGAAACCGAGTTCGACGCCTAACCCATGCATTCCTTACCATCCTTCAATCACCCACACTCTTTATCCATGTCACCCGCTTTTGGTTCTGTTCAAATACAAAAGAAAAACACAAAAACAATACCTTAGTATGATAGCCTCAGTTTTACTTCGGGTTTTGGCTGGTGATCTCATCTTTTCCCTTTCCAATACTTACCTATGTTATGTGTGCTTCCGTGCATAGACTCTTATTATATCTCAAAGCACAGACATTGTTCAAAGGACTCAAAGGACTATATCGCGCACCCAATGATTACTGTACATTTCTCTTGTAATGCGCAGGTAGCGCACCATGCCCATTTATGTTGAAAGTCCCTAGCCATACCCACCTGCGGCCACAGGTATAGAGGAAGGAAGACACTCACAAAGGAAGACAAGCCGGACAGTACTCCACAAACATTAGTATCATCATCTGATTCACCTTCTAACACACATGCACTCATTTTACCTTACTCGTTCTTAGGCACACAGCGGAGCTAGGACCGGACACTGGACAATGGACATGGACAAGGAGCCTGGAACTTAGGATCAAACCACGCTACAGTCAAACCAAGTATCTATTCACAATGCGTGGTATTCTAGAAGGGAAAGGAAAAGTATCTACTGGTGGCGGCGGTGCTTCTTGTTGCAGACACTAAGGAGGTCAACGACATTCATGACCTTGCCCATCATAGCTTGTATAGTAGCCATCTGCGCATAGATTGAGCGTGTCAGTGCCTCAGTCTCCAGATCCTCCAGGTCCACATCTTCCACATCGCCCAGTGGTTCCATCCCCTCCCTCAACGATCTCTTCTTACCGGTAGCCTTTCGCGTATCCGTGACCTCCTCCTCATCCAATACCTCGACCGTGTCACGCAGGCGTCGGATAAGAACCTCCTTGGAAGGTCCGGGCATGGGCATAGATTCCACGGTCGAGGCAGTACAAGCCTTTGGCTGCAGCAATGGCTTAATAGCGCAACCTAAGACAGAAAGATTAGCATGAAGTCTGGAACTATTAACGAAGAAAATGTACCCTTCCCCTTACGCGTTGAGTGCTTGCACCCCTGCCACGTGGCCTTGCAGTTCTGGCAGACCATACTAGGCAAGCCTTGGCAGCGGACATCTTGCTTCACTGCACCACTCACATCTGTCCTTGTGGATGACAAGCGTGGGAGCGGTGCTTATCCACGGGGTCTTCTAAGAGATCGAGTTAGGAAGCATAGGAAAGAAAAATAAGGAAGTTACTCACCTGTTTGGGCAGAACCATGGCCTTCTTGGGCAAAGCACTGCTTGGGGTGCTCCTTCTCCTCCTCCTCCTCATCACCCTCCTCCTCTTCCTCAGCCTTATTCTCACCAGAACCATCCTTAGCAGGTCCATCATCTTCGGCAGTGTGCTTGTCATCAGTGCCAGCAGACATCCTAACATCCTCGTCTCTTGCTAAAGTCTCCTTGCGATGGTGTTCTTCCTCAGTGCACTTGGAAGCCTGGTGCTCAGCTTCAGCTCTGAATGTGCAAAGCTGTGCACGGAAGTGATCATAAGCTTTGGAGCTGCAATGACCCTTCCCAGCTTCTTCAGGGCTCAGTGGGAACAAGAGACCAAAGGTCTTCCCGTTGATTGAACATTGGTCAAGGTTGCGCTATTGGAAAGAAGTTAGTAGAGAAGAAACAAAGAATAGATCCTGACATACCATAATGCATTCCCATGAGTGGCACCATTCCTCCTTCTCCATTATCAGCTCGGCACAATCCTCAGGAATAGAGTCAGAAAGTGAGGCCATTGGAACACGAAGGTCAGCGAAGATGCATTGGAGCTTTTCGCCCTGTGGGGTAACGATGTTGTCAAAAGAGAATGACATGGTAAAGGTTTGATCGATGAAGGAAGAGATACAATGGAAGGGCAGAGGGGAGTTTTATAGGGAACTGTGACCACGTCCACAATGTGTCCACACTTCTCTTCTCATTGTTCTGTTTTAATTTCCAACCATGCCCACCACAAACCTTATTTTCCTGGCAACCACAACACACATTTCCGTTCTCAAGTCTCACGGTCATGTGTTTCTTCCAATGAAAACTTTGTCAAGTCCATTTCCTGCATACGCGCTAACCGGGGACAGTTAGCATTTGAGTCTCCCACGGATGTGACGCTTGGACCCACGCTGGGTGGGAACAAGTGTCTTTCGATACTCATGTCAAGGTCTATGGAAACTTGTTGGATCCATGTCATTCCAATCCTCTCCTAGAAGTTTCCTTCAGCCGATAGCCAACTGGCATATACCTGCACTCAGATCTGTCCTCCATCCATGTCCTTTCCGTGTCCACCTATCTCTGTTGGTGCGTGTTCAATTTCTCTCGGTTTGACTAAACAATATCAAGGCTTATTACATGTAACCGCATATTCCGTTCCACGTGCACCCTCATTACATATTACTTATCTGCCTCGTTTCATCACTACAGTTCTCGCCTACTGTTACAGTCAACTGCAACATCTACAAGAGCCCTCGCTCTGCTAGACTCCCGATGCGGCGGCACACCGCTAGAACTTAGAACGACAGTGGTCTGGACCACTGTGACTCCACCCCTGGCCTAGAAGGCCTTGTACCTGATTCCTGAAGGCTGTGCACCTCATGGACACCCTAGATCGGTGCATGTTGCCTCATGCCGCCTCATGAAGATCCGCAGCGCCTCTTGGCGCCTCACAGTTGATCAGAGATTAAGCCTCATGTATCTTATCTATCCTCATGGTTGACCTCATGGACTGTTATCTCTGATAACAGAGATCCTTAGATACAGACTGAGCTTGAACCCTTATGTACAGACAGTATATAAGTAGACAGATTATTGTATTAGTTCTTTACTTTAATCTACTAGGTAGATCCCCAGAACTAGGTCTTTAGCTTGTCTAATCCACTTGCTTCCTTGAACACCTTTTTGCACTTCTAAGTCGCTCCCCGCGCCTTAGCCGTATTCTCGCTAGCCCTTCATCTCAACAAGGTCCATAGACCTTACCGACATTGACGGAGAGACCTGTCAACATTCGTCAACCTGTAAGATACCCTCGACATGCTTCGCGCAACGGTCCATTTGGACCAGTGTTGAGAAGACTTATCCTAGTTGTAACACCTGCGGGTTTCAGACACTCACGCAGTAGGATAAAGTCTTGCGCGCTACATACAGTATATTACTTCCCTTCCCTTGGACACTTCATTTGTTTTGCAGAGTCACCTTGGACATTCTTAGTACTTTTGATCAATTGACAAGCTTTGTTCATTTCTCACTTTGAACCCACTGTAATGCTCAGACCCACACTGGGCAGCAAATAGGCCATTTGATACTTGTCTCAAGGAGCATAGAACACTATGAGTTTCCTGTCCTCGCATATTCATTATCCTGCAAATAACCTTGTCCCAAACCAAACCCGCTTTTCCCGCGCCTTGCGCATCCGCACTTTCCCACACTTTGGACACCTCGGAAACGCATTAGGAAGGTCCCTCGTCTATTCATAGTCCATCCAAACTCCATTGGTATGTGAATTTCCTTACCTTGAGGCTTGTGAAATGTGTTGCAGCCTTATTACATGTCCTTACATATTTCCTATATTTCCTATCCCTTCCCTCTCTGAGTAAGAGTTTAGACAGTATAAGTTGACTGCTTCTTAGTATTACTTACTACACTTCCCTCGTACTGGATACCTCTCCCTATAGGTTTACCTTCGAAGTAGTCCCTTGTAGTGTGCGCTTTTCAGCCCCTATTAGGTTCCCTATACCTCTCTATACCTAGACTTTCCTTACCTCACAATATACCTTTGCCCTCACTCTCTAAAACCTCGTTCCTTGACTTCCTTATACCTTGTCCGCACTTTCCCACACTTTCTGCACCTTCGGCTGTGTGTTCCCACGCTTCAGATACCTTTGGATACATTCCCATACCTCGCGCATACCTTGTCCACTATTTTCCTGTGCTTAATGCGCTCTCGGGTCATACATATCCATCATTGTTCTAGTAGCAATTCCCTTTAGGGTCAAACACATCTGTATAGACATAGCAGCTAGGCATTAGCTTGACCCAACCTTTCCTTGCCACCTAGCAAGATTGTTATTTCCACACCGCATAACAGATTATTTGAGTATGTAACACCTACTAAGGATGAAGAGCCTGGACAAAAAGTGTTCTTTGAAGCTGATCACGCAGCTCTGCAACTCAAAGATGCTGTCTTTGTAGACATTCTGACTAGCGGAGTCACTGGAGGTGAGGATGATAATATTGACACTATCATGAATTATCCTAGGGGCTGACCTTTGCTGGCAATTCCCGGAGGTAGCATTTACATTTCTGATGTTCATGCTGTAATCCATGCTCATGAGTTTTCTAGGGCATTATATTTGACTGAAGGCCTCTACTGGATGCAGGGATCATTATTCCAGGCACTGTCAAGACATGAGTATCTGCTCCTGACCATGGATGTCCTAGTCAAGTATTTGAGCCAAAGGATATTGCACTTCTTGCTTCTTGGACTGCACTACTCAACGACACTTGCATCAATAGATGTGCCATACTTCTTTATCTAAAGGCAGTATGATTATTTCGCATGATTGAGCAGTTTGCTATCCTTTCAACTCATGACCTCCCGTGCATCTGATATAATGCACCTGATGATGTTCTGTGGTGGAACATGTTATAGACACGTTACTGGGCCAAAGAGGTATGGATCCTTTTTATCCATAGACCATCAAATGTTGGCCACTGGGTTCTATGTGTTGTGCACCTCCAAAGCAAGAAACTCCATCTATTTGACAGTTTTGCTGAGTGGAAGCCCTGGAAAGTTAATATTAAGGTTCATGAGCTCATCTAATTCATTTCAGCATGGACTTAATTAATCCAGGACATCATGAAACTTATTGCTTGCCTTCTGAGTACTGCTTGACAACACAATTACATGGTTCATGTCAACATTGACTTTGATGGGTGGGTTGCACGTCCTCTGATGGTAAGTATTGTTGCAACAATAATGGCGTAAAAAGCAATCTCATCTGATATGTTCTTAAACTAAAGTAGTTCAAACAAATGGTTTCGACTGTGGTGTTTGGGTGCTTACAGTGATTGTGGCAACACTGCATAGGTCTTGGAGAGGAAGACATGCATGCTTTTCGACATTATCTAAGAAAACTCATACTTCAGATCCCAGTATTCTAGCTAGCTAATATCACTGTCCAATGTATACAGATTTAATCCTGTCATTATCATGTGCACCTTATTGTGATAATGATAGATTCTGTGAGCACACTACTGTAAGAGTCACTGCACCATCCTGCAATATCTGTCACAATCTTCCATACCTTCAACATAGTCACTCAACATCACCCACTGCATCAAGAGCATGTTAATATTTTTCCTCAACTCAGCACAAAGATCCATCACTCCCCCTGAACTGTGCTTCTTAGCATGCTCATATACTTCCTCCCTCACCATTTGAGATTGTCAATCATGGATCACCTGGACAAGGTTTTGTATCCAGCGAACTTCTGCTGGGGTATCTGAAGGTCAAGGAGCATGATATGGTGGATCAACATCCCATTACACAAGATCTGATTAATCAAGGTTTTTGGCACTTTGTGATGCTTGTTGAAACAGGTAGGTATCTGGAAGATCTGTTATTGCAAGGTTGATTAGATTGGATGGAAGGGATGGGAGCTCAACATTGGAATCAAGGGTAGGTGATTTGGAAGCATGAATGAGGGACTTTGTTGAACCCTTTCAACTGTGGGCTTTGGCATATATGTGCAAATTCCAAAGTTGACAAGTGTTTTTACCTCTGCACACATAGTATTAGTACTTAGAGATGAAATACTCAAAGCAAGAGTTCTCTGCACCTTTCAGATTGAGCATATTTTGTGGTGTGTTGATGTGTTGCAGCAGTTTTATTAGCAAGAGTGAGATGTTTTGCTTTCCATCCCATAAGTAAAAAGGCAGGGTGCAACTTATTTTAGAAGAAGACTAAAGCAACTAACATGAATAAGTGAATGTTGGAGAGTTGATTTATTTCACCAAATACAGTTTGAATAGAGAATATATATTGGTGCCATTAGAACCGGCATGTCATGGAACATCTTAATATGTACACTAGATGATTTTTCATGTATACTGGAGGTATTAGGATATGTTTTTTGTATGTAAACATCATATTTGAACACTGATTGGCTCATCAAACTCAGTAGTCATACCTTGAGGACAGCTCCATTGGGGGGTTAAATTAATGTCATGGTTCTAAATGATTATCAATCTACATTTAAATGTTTTCTTTGTCGCAGCAAGCCTCCTAAGAGGCTATAAATCCTCTTCAGCCTCTAGAACTAGTTGCTATAAAACACTCACAACCTCTTGAGCCTCCCTAGTAGCACTACATTATATGGTAAGCTGAGGGCACTGATGCTGTGCTTCTTTAATACTCTGGAGTTTCATTTTGAACTTACTGTAATTGTCCTTATTGCCAAGTTATCTTGGAATGTAGTAGATAAGCAACAATTTTATTCTAATAATTGCTATTTTTAATGTCACCCTTGTAGCCTTGCAGCCTCAGGATGCTCTGAGAGACTGATCCTCTGGTAGACCATAGTGAGCCTGAGTGAGAATCTTGTGCAATATGACGTATTTGAAGGTGTACAGAGGTGTATACAACTCAACAATGATTTAATTAAATTCAACTATTTTTAAACCACACAAGTCAATCAGAATCAACTGTAGTAGTGCTACATGTTACAGTTACCATTTCTGAAAAGTCACTTTAGCACTGACTCCTCGCTTCTTCAAAGTTCAATTCAAATTTTTGAGCTTTCTCGAACTTACTGGAATTATCCTTAGTTTTCTCTGATACATGGTCTGCATGTTATCAATTGATTGCCATCTACAGCTAGTGTCTAAATGTTACCTCCTGCAAAATGGCCATAACCACCAGCACATCAAAATCACCCCACTTCATCAATGTTGCCACACTCACAGATTCACAATCTTTTTCTTTTACCCGGATTGTGAGTAGTAGTGCAATTGGATTTTCAAATTTTGCTGACCTGCTTCTAGCTTGTCAATGTAGTCATGTCAACAAAGGACACCCAACTTACTGAAGTCTCTGGAGGCTTGGTGAAGAATGGAAGAAGCTCAATGGGATACCTTATATCATAGGTGGGATGAGGGCACTTGTTGGTAAGATTAATCATTACACATTCATACTAATCCTCAAATTATTTTAGCATGACTTGGTGGGAGGCTCTGTAGGTGTACAAGTGCTGACTTCCCCTGGAAAACACTCCCAAAGGAACTAGCTCACCTGGAGTATGTCCTCACCAATTACTTTGATGAGACCTTGATGCCTGGCAAGCTGCAACTCTCTCTCTCTTGCACCAAAGGCATCTATGATCTGAGCCACCAACATCACACCAATCTTGTCAACTACCTCAAGGCAAGCACCCTCACTATCCAAGCAGTGATGAGCAATGCTGCTCGTACACATCTTGCTACCTCAAAGGACCCCATTATAATTGGAGATGCCCCCTCAGCTTGCTCTATGCACTCCTGTGAACGTGTATTTGCTGATGGTTGCATCGACAGAAAGTGTCATATCCCGCGTTCCGGGCCCGGACTTATTACACACATCATTTCTGGATGTCTGGATCCGACTGACTTCTACCTATCGTCCGGATCCGACCCGCATCTAACTTCCATGCCTTATCCCTTTGAACATTCCTTCTCCAGTTAGACTATAATCATTTTCCATATCTCATTTCATTTCCGCCTTTATTTTCCTCCATTCTCATTTCCGTCTTCATTTACTATTTTCTGATAGACTAGCGTTTGACTTTTCTATATGCTCCGTCCACAGCATCGCATAGTTTCAGACTGCGCTGGCTTACTCTCTGTTAAATCCTCAGTAGTATATAAACCCTGTAGAATCTATGTACATCCTTAGTTTGAATATTATCTTAGACTCTGCTCATTCCCTCCTCCGTCTGACTTGAGTTTCTCCTCTCGTCGTCCTCCGCTAGTCTTAGGATCGACTTCTATAGACTTCTCACCTCTGCCTCTACCTCTGGTAGTCCTTCGCTGTTTCCTTTCTAGTTTGGACATCATCCGGATTAGTCTTATCCCTCGTTCCCGAACGTCCACCAGAATTCCTGCGCATCGGACATCGGACTCCGGACTCGTCCAACAACCTTCGGACATCGTCCAACAGCCCTCGGAAGTTAGGGGCACGTACTTGGGTAAGGGGCGCAGCGCATGAGCTGAAGCCAAGCCCTTCAGATCCGACCCTTGAGCACATTCTTAACAGTATATTTGAACTCACACCTTACCGAGTATACTTACATCTGACTTCATGGCACCTACACGGGCACAGACTGTTCTCAATGCGGCAGGTTTAGTAACCGCCCAACAGGACTCTACTCCCATAGTCGATGCCTTCCTCAGTTTCTCTCAGTGCCACGCCAGTGCGCAGGGCGCTGCCTCCAGCATCTCCCAACTCATGAACCGTCCACATCCGACTACCCCTACACCCACACCCACCGGAAATCTTCTGCACAATGATTCCGACGACGAGTATCCTCTAGGTGGTAACCCACCCAGAGATGGTGGGGGTGATCTGGATGATGATCCTCCAGACGACCCGGATGACAATGAACACGAAGGTCTAGCTCTGCAGGACTTGGTCTTCCTCCGTCTATCCCAAGCTATCAATAACCTGGCGTGTAACAACTGCCAATCATCCTCCTCTGGTGACTCCAAAGTCAAAGTCCGAGAATTGGACACCTTCGATGGCACTGAGCCCCAGAAGCTCCAGGCGTTCTTTGTCCAATGTGAGCTTAACTTTCAAGCTAAGCCGAAATCTTTCCATACCGGCCGGACCAAGGTCAATTTCGCGCAATCATACCTCAAGGGCATGGCCCTTGAATGGTTTGAGCTGGACCTCCTTTCGGATGATCTAGCAGATCGTCCAGATTGGATGGATGACTACTCCGAGTTCATGTTAGAACTCCAAACTAACTTCGGACCTCACGACCCGGTCGGAGATGTGGAAATGCAGCTGGAACAGCTCTACATGCGTGACGGACAGTGCATCAACAAGTATGTTGTAGAGTTCCAATGGCTAGCTTCCCAAGTCCAAGGTTGGGGCGACGGAGCTTTGCGCTGTCAATTCTACAACGGACTTCCGGCTCGCATCAAAGACAAAATCAGTCGTCAAGGGAAACCTACTACACTTCCTGAATACAAAACTCTCGCCCAGACTATTGATGCCCGATACTGGGAATGCAAGGAAGAAGTCTCCCGCGAAACCAAACTTTCTGCATCCACCCCTCCTGTTAAACAGTCAGCTTCTACTTCCGACCGGTGTCATGCATGGTATGTGATTCATACCATGTCAGATATATATATAGAGTGATAAGGAAGGTATGAGAGACTGTCTAGCCCTCTGTCACTAAGCTACCTCTCTGTTTTTCCTTTGATTCATTGTCTTATATTTTATTTCTCACTTTTCAGACTTGTTTTATCTTGTATTTTTATGAACATGTGACCTTCTGTTTATTTCTCATTGTTTATTTTTATTTGGCTTCTTTCAGCCACCAGATTTCATTCGTCAGCACATCATGTGACTGGGGAATAATCTGGTTTGTAACATTATTTAAGCTGACTCAACATGATCAGTCATGGTTGGTCATGCTTTGTAAGTTCTTTGTAAGACACTGAACTTTGTTTGTAATGTACTTAGTAAGAAGGATGATTCAGCTCACCCAAAGGCTTGGTTTGTCAGCTTCTGCATGACCAATCCCTGAGAAGAGTCAGCACCTTTCTGTCATGCTTTGTAAT